AAGATTTAAGCAAACAATAAAAGAGGAAGAGAAAATTCTTTACAATATCAACAGAATAATTTTTTAGCGTGGAGAACTATCATCGGGAAGGTACAAGTACTTATAAACAGTTGTCTACGTAAAATACTAAACGTCCATTGGCCGGATACTATCAGCAACATCGTTTTATGGGAGAGGACAAACCAACTTCCAGCTGAAGAGGAAATGACGTTGGAAGTGGATCGGACATACATTAAGGAAATCACCAATGTGCATTACAAGGCAATCCCTAACTTGAAATCCGGAAGGGAAGCGGAAAAGAGGAAGGCCAAAGAACACACTACACCGGGAAATAGAAGCAGATATGAAAAGGATGAATAACAACTGGAAAGGAAGCCACAGGACAGAGTTGGATGGAGAATGCTGGTGAGAGGCCTATGCTCCTCGACGAGGGGTAACAGGCGTAAGTAAGTAATCAACAGAAACAAGATGGACAAGAATAATATACACTAGCTTGTATGTAACATTTAAAATACTGATACCGATTGATTCCACGTTCCACTATGCCCTTAAAAATATGGAGATCAAAGTTACAAGCCATCAGTAAATAACCGTAGTTTACTTTTTATCTTGTCTGTCCAACCTTCAAATAACAACAATAATTTTAACTTAATAGAAGAAATAAACAAACATATTGAACAATTTCATTGTTCTTTTAATAATTTTATTGATTTTTTTCGAAGTAAGCATAAGAAAGAACAATTTATGCGAAGTCGGTAGTATGCACAATTGGAGAAGTACTGAATTCAATCAGTCAATCACTTCCTACAGACAACCTGGCATATATACACGTTGGTCCAAGCTACCAAATCATATTAGCACAACAAGATGAAATTACCAAGACTAATAGCAGAATGGTAGAAGTAGTGAGAATGTCAATAGTAGCAGAAAACATTCGGTATAAACGTTATTATTCGAGGAGAAAGAATACGTTTGTGGAATAAAATAACCAATAAGAGAATTTTAAAACCCAGGTTTTAGAAGATAGAATGAATACATTTGTATCGTCGTGGCAGATTCTAGGTTATATAATTAAAAGTCGGCAAACATTGAATATGATAATTTTAAGGATTCAATCGAATGATCTACACAACTCAGTTCAGGTGTCAGTAACTTCATGGACTGATGTGCTGTTTTAGTTTGAACAACCCTAGTTTTCCTTCAACCTGCTCCTATACTAGCCAACATTACGTAAGTCCTAAATTATCATGAAGCACTTGTTCAGTGATCAGTTATCACCTGATCATTTCATTTTAATATTCAGTTGATATAAAAGTCATTATTTGTAGGTATTCTTGGAAAAACCCCACCCTAAAATCTTTGCAAGTGTAAACGTTTCGGCAAATATAAAAATTAATGGTGGTAGAGAATTTTTATCTCCATAATGAATAATTACCGTTTCCAAGTTCATTTTAAATTATTTTCACAAAAAAAATCAATGAAACATGAAACTATCATTGACATTTATACAGGTTAAAAAAGTTTACATTAAGCAATTTGGATTATTGACCATACCTAAAGCCAAAAAGTTAGTTTATTAGAGCCACCTCAAAAATTATGTTACTACTGTGGTGTGGTCTACTTATATCTACATAAGCAGTATATGGTGTGGGTCAGACATAGAATGTATTTTCGCAGAAGACCGATGAGGAAAGAACTGAAATGAAGCGCAATCGTTTGGAAAATGCATGAGCAATGGAATTAGAGAAGAAACAGTTAAGATTGAAACAATTAGTTGTTAATTTGCAAATTGACTGTTCATTGTTTGGTAATCAGAATTTACTGAGATAGTCGGTAATGTTTGCTTAAATACGTCCGATTGTCCCCAACTAGTGTTCTGTTCACTATACTACTACATTTCAAAGTAATGTCCTATCACATCGTATTGCATCTCAGTTCAAATATCCTGTTTATTCTTTCTTCGTGTATTGTTCAGTCATTCCCTCTAATAAAACATTTTCAGCATCACGTAATCAGTACATATTCAATCATGTCAATATAATTTCTCTTTCTCCAAACATTAAACCTTCTCTTGTACAGATCAATCTTTATAATTATTCTTCATGGGCAGGTGAGTATCGCTGAATTACAATAACATAACAGTTTCTGCTGCAAATAATGATTGCATCACATCTTTACTCAATTCTGATCAACAGTCGACTCGTATTATCCTAAGTATAGATCACAACAATAATCCATCATCCAAGGTTATCGCCAAAGTAAAAAAAAACTATCACTAAATGAACTAATATTTCTTCAGGATCGATTAACCTACCAGAAGGTAAACACTGTGAGTCAAATAAGTAAATAATTAATATGTAGCCTGATAACTTACACGATTCACTTTTCATGTAATGTCGATGATTACTTTATTATGTTTAAGGTTGTGTATTTTTCTGATCAACTTATTAATCATAAGAGCATAGACTGAGACCAGAACTTGATATGTATGACAAGAAACTTGAAATAATCAAAGCTATGGGTTTCTTCTCAAACTAGAGATAATTTTTGGAAAACACTATAAAATTATATGTTTATTCCTATTCGGACAATGAACTCTTAGTTTTAAAATAGATCCCGGTTAGGAAGTAATTTTATTGGTTATAAAATAAAACATGCCATATCTTCTTAAACAATACTCAAATATTTACGGCTAGTCACGCATCTGTAGCTTCACTGAGAACATCAAATCGTTTTTTCATTCGTTTAGTATGATCATTTAAGCAAAGCAATTATTCACTTCACTAAACCGATAAAGTGGACTTGTGCATGAGTTATGCACTTTCATACTATTAATAATTTCCATGTTCAACAATTTTTAAAGATTAGTCTTGTAGACATAGTCTCGATCGCACCTCACAAAGAACATATAAATTTCATCTATCATTTCTTAAAGTACTCCAATAAACTATCCAATTGTCTACCAACCTATGCTACGATTCGATCATAGTGCATGTAGAGGAGGTGCATAAATTACAGGTAGTTGACTGTTTTTGCAGCACCGAAAAGACAGTGCTTAAGTAGGGAAAAAATTCCTACTCAAAAGAATAAGTCTGTTTTCGGCCACGTGTTAAACATATTAATTCACCGTTTACCTCAATGAGATACTGAAGTAGAAATAAATTAGAGACAACCGACGATGGCTAAAACAAAATATCACAAGTCACTGGCTGCCATTTTGGGTTGTAAAGAAAGGCTCAAACTTCCTGGATGAAGCCTATGAGGTAATAGCACTGGGTGATTACACAACTAGCTTCAAATAAATCAGTATTGACTATTATAGCGCAGATGTTTATAATACTTATTTCCCTTTAAGTTTTGTGTATTTAATTTAAGCAACTTTTAACTATATACCTTTATTGTTAGATTTCTAAAGTTGGAATATGTAACACTTAGACCCATGTACGTTGGGAAAAGTTCTTCGTAGATATTTATCTATAGAAACTTAAGGTAATAAATAATTCAATATCATTGAGATCATGGATCGATCAATGTTAGACCACCATTGAAAAGCTGGGGTCGTTGGACGGTTGTCTCGCCCTAGTATGGGACTCCTCAGTAGTGCGCATCCACGATCTCGCATGCGGGATTCGAACCCAGGACCTCCGATCTCGCGCGTGAGCGCTTAACCTTTAAACCACTGAGCCAGCATCTGACGGTGTTATTAGTTTCTGACTTCAATAGTGGTCTAACATTGATCAATTCATTGTGCCAATCGAAAACTCAACAATCTCATACTGATAATTCAGTGTCAGTTGATTTGTGAAAATAAGTGGATTTTACTACACAAGTTTCCAAAACCGCATATGTTATTAAAACTAAATATATACATATTTCAATGTTTGAAGCATTTTGGAAAGAGTTGTGAAAATTTCTTAACTTAAATTTAGATAATCGGTGGAGATACAATAATCCTTACAGCCTTATCATTACTGATAATAATAAACTCCAATAACTGTTTTTCACTCAAGTTACCAACTATTATTTCTTACTTCATAAAACCGATGGTACCAGAAAATTCAGTTACATGATATAAGTGAAGAAACACAACAAGAGCTAAGAACAACGTTATACATGTTTCACCCAACTGCTTCAAAGAATCTTTATTTCAGAGCTTATTGAATTCCCTATAAACGGTAAGGTTTTCATTTTTTTTTAAAACTGTCATCAGAAAGTTTAACTTAAATGTACACCTAGTTAAGAACAATTACGACTGACATTCCACTATAGAGTAATCTTTACATTCATAGATTTCTAAAATCACATCTACTGCTTTACAAGTAACAAACACAAATATCGCTTCGAAGTAAAAAAAATTCAGGAGAAATATGTATATTTCAGCGGTTTAAAAATCTCCATAGCATATTTAAATATTCTTTGTTTTTAAATATATATATATATCATTTGGAAAGATTGTATTATGGTTTAAACAGTAAGTAACACAAAAGTTTTCTGGGAATTACAAGACATTATAACACTGTATATATATATATATATATATATATATATATATATATATATATATGTATATATCATATATCGTATCTGAGACAATCAATTCGGTATACACAGGCACCTGATATTATCACCAGCAAGTGAATAACATCATTTATTGGATAGAGAGAATTAATAATTAGAAAATAAATTCTAAAACGTACAGTATATATATATATATATATATATATATATATATATATGTATATATGGAAGTAATCATAAACTTTTTGCATGTCTGTTTTTGTAGTATGTAGTATAGAATTGGAAAGAAATAAGTAGATCAAGAATATTATATTAGTGTTATAACCGTTTACAGGTAAAGGTCGGCATTCTCAAACGAGATATGAATATTTGGTTTCGAAGAGATAAAATTTCATGGAAAAATACCATGACAACAATATATATTTCTTTATTCTTATTATTTAGTATGTGAATCCAACATATCAAATCATTCCAATTGTAAATTATTTATTTCTGGATTGATCAATATCGCATGTTTCACAGTCGTCATCTTGGAGTATACGATGATAACCTTCAGTGGAAATCGCATCTAAATCATCCAAGTTATTTGTCTCCCAGTAAACCAACTTTTCAGCACCTGGAATTCAAGTTAATTACAGAAATTTAAAAAAATTTCAATGAAGATGGTGTTGAAATTCATTTTAGGTAGAACATCAACGTGACAGGCAATGTTTCATAAATGTAACTTGTTTTTGAACAATAAATTGATTGGCATTGGTATGTACAATCACATTAGTCATCACCGAAAACCAACAAGGTAAGTATGATGGGTGGGTTTACTTTATAAATCCCAACCATCTAAATCGATAAACACTCACTATCTCGTCAACAGCTTTGACATGTTTACTTAAAACTATGGGTCCAACTTCAGAATTGCTGACTCGATGGTCCCAAAATATACGAACAATAATTCGAAGAGACCTATGATCCGGTAATAAGTATGTTTTTAATCGCCACGTTTCACATTCATAAAGTAGAAGGGAGAAAACTACTGTACGGTTGATAATGATTGGATGTTTGCTTAGTCCAACTGGTAGATAGTCTGACAGATATTAAATGACCTATGTATTCTCCTACTCTCATTAATACTGTGACTGCCGTCGGTTTTTGGTGTAAAAATATACTAAAGTTTTAGTCAGGCTAGTCACGTGTTCTTGATATGAGTTGTGATGAATTCTTGTAGAATGGACGATTTTGAGACATATCATCCAAAGTCTCTAACCATTGATCACGATAATCACACGGACTCCAACCAGGTAGTCCCCACCAACCTACGTGGCTCGGTCCGAAAATCAGTGTTTCCAAAAACTAACTCCATGTCTTGGTTTGTTAATCTCATCTAAGCAGAAAGTTGGTAAAAGTCAGTCGACCTTGCTTAAGACACCAACCAACATGAGTTGACTAACATTTGGAGATAAGTGAAGTGATCTATAAAATAAATCAATTCATTAACTCTGACGAACACCAGTTGAGGTCAACACTTCACCAGTAGTGTTCCAGTACATAGCCTGTACAAGGTTAGTGTGATTATTCAGCACACCGTTCAGTAACAATCATTGCCATAAAACTTGTTAATCTACTGAGTCGAACGCTGCCCAAAGTCGAGAAATACAATTTTGGTTGGGAGTTGATAGATGTGTGTGTTCCAGTACCTGACAGGGGGAGGTTATTTGGTTTACACATTCACACCCAAATCTGAAACCAATGGTTTTCCTGAATTTGCTCTTCATATGCCCTAGTTTGGTAATTATAGAGGCTAATATTTTAAACGCTATATTAGTTGGTCTGATATCGCTGTGGTTTATCACACGAAGATCTTGTCCTTGCTTACAGATTGGGACGATCAGTGATTCAGACCAGGCAGACAGGAGTACTCCCAATTCCCAGACTCTAGTTTATATCTCAGTCAATTTAACAGCCAGAACTGGACTATCATCCTTAACAATCTATAGGGGGTCAATTCATCAGGACTTGCTACACTCCCTTGTTTGGGACTAACCATCCTTTTTTCTACTTCTTTAAGAGTCGGGAGACTTTGGTCGATATCTCTTCCAGGTTGCTTGGTGGAAGTAGGCAATCGAAGTGTAGCTGGAGAGCGGTTAAATTGTTTTTTTCCATCGTTGCAGTATTCTGTGTTGAGAGTGGACCAGTGTTTAATCCTTCTGAGAAATCGTTTCATTAACTCCCGAATTTCTAGTACATATTTCTTTAGTAAGTTTGTTGTTAACTACCGACGCGGCTTTTTCCATCACTTTCGCCTTAACTGTACACAACTGCTCACGATCATTGTGTAGACTTTTTGTCAGTTTACATTCAAGTTGTCTTTGCTCCTTAACTTGTTCGTAGCCCGATGACATAAGTTTCCGAGTGATCATAAGTTTAGCGGTTCTGAGCTTATATTTGAGATACCAAGTAATTTATATGTAACTAATAATGTAATTAAACCCGAAAGTATTGAATTGACTCCCCCTTCAAGAACCTAACAGTTATTCCTTAAGACTGCAATAAGATTAGTCAGTGAGAATTTTCACATTCGATAGATGGAAAATCTGGATTTAAGCTAATACCTAAATTCTGTGGATCTTGAGAAAATGAGTAGATAAACATGTAATAGTTACAATCCACAACAAAACCCCAATTCCTAATCTTGGTGAATAGTCTTCACAAAATACCAAGTGATTTACAACAATAAAAGTGATTACTCTTTTTACAAAAATATGAAGAATCTAGAGAAAAATGTTGAAGAAACTTACCAACAGAACGAAACCGCTTTTTTTTATGACGAAATATCCTAAAAAGACTTAGATTAGAAGCATCTGAACGACGTGGCTGACTCAAAGCTGTAAATGTACCAGGACTGTCTATAAACATACAGAGAAGATAAGAACTTAGTTGAAGGGATTTTGTAGAAATTAGTTCAATATACGGGTTGTATTAATCACAGATTGATTTCAGTTGGAAGTATCATTGAAAACTAAACAGCACAGAAATAAAACAGTTGTCACTAGTGGCACTGCATGATTGTTGCACTATATCACAAGTTGATTAAAGTTAAAGTTGTACCGTTGAATATCCACTTAGTGGTTCTAATGATTAAGCGTTTGCTGCGGGACATGAAAGTCCTAGGTTCAAACGCAGGTAGGGTCGTGGGAACACACTATTGAGTAGCTCGATACCATGGCTCAGTACTCTATAGTTTTTAGTGGTGCTCCAACTGAGATTAATCTGTTACGAATACAACCTGTGAAAAATGAATGTTTGTTTTAAAAATCTTTTAAGATGAGTTCGAAATATGATTTGATATCATAAAAAACACCAAACATGTATTATTCCATAGTTAAGTAATATATCTGCAGTTACAGGAAATTTCTAGAGTAAACTACCCTAGTTTTATTTTTTTTAAACATTAAACGTAGTAGTCGTTTTTAAATTAAAATTATCTAGTAGCATTTCCCTTTCTTTACAGTTACACACACATAAGTTATTACCCGTTTAATTGCGAAAAACAAGGATTTCTGTATTCAGAAAACAGATTAATAAAAAGAAAGGTAGGTTTTATATATCACCAATTTACATGAACATATTAGAGAAAGTGTTACATCTTAGGGTTGAGCCTAGGTACTGGCCTACGCTATTTGTTAAGTTTGGAACGACCAAACTTATCCTAACACAGAATGGTTATATGGCGGAACTCAAGAAGATATATATATATATATATATATATATATATATATATATATATATATATATATATATATATATATATATAGTAACAAAAACAAAACCTTTAAACACAGAAAATTAGTACATCAAAAGTAGTAACAACCAATCAGAAAAAGGGTGAAGGTCAAGTGAACATTCGAATTAGGACAAAAAAGTATTTACAGTTATCGTTAACAGTAAGACTTTAATATTTATTAACAGAAATTGAATGATTCTTAGCACAAAGAATCATAAGCCATCTACTACTCTAAAAGCTAAGTAGAAGCGATAACTGCTTGTTATTCCTCACGATTCAATTGAAATGACATGAAATAGAATCAAGCAATAAACAACGTTGTATTTTTAGTATACCAAAATCTATCATTTCTAATTAGCGAGAAGAATCTTAATCAATTGTAAATCAATTTTAAACAAGTGTGAAACATTGAAATATTCCTTGTTTCCCTAATACTTAACGATAATTAAAATAACTAGTTTTAAATATAAAGTTAACTAAATGAACAAAAACGAACTAAAATAATAGAAAAATTGCAATCTGTTGCAAACTTTAGTGAATATAACAAATATATCCTTTATCAAACTTACTAAGATTTATTTTGTTCAAAGAAAAAGAACTTTTACGTTTTACAATTCTTTGTATTGATTATTTAGAAAGTTTTTTTAATCACTTACCAGCAGCAACGTAAGTAGGTGGTGGTACAAAATGTACAGGTGGACCGAAAGAGGATACATTAGAATGTGGAGGAACTGGTGAATCATTAGATGCATCTAGTTTACTATCTCTTCTAGATAATAAATCCGAAAACACTGTAGAACCACTAAGTAATTGTGCAGTATCCGGATCGATAGGTAATTGAGGTTGCCAATTACCAGTTGCACCGACAACAGCCATAGCGGAAGCAAGTGCAGCTGCAGAAGGCGCTGTCGTAGAATCTGAAGCTAAAGAGCTTAAACCTGCCACTACACCAGCAAGTTGACGTGAAGGACCAAGTAATGCCAAAGAGTTGATATTACTGCAACTACCAGTTGGCTCGTCCGTTGTTGAACGTTTTCCTGAACGCAAAACACTTGAATTCAATATACGTGCTGGTTTTAAACGACTGGCTAAAGAGTGGGGCCTTGATGACACAGATGGGCTGTCTAAGCTTACTGGTGAGTCAACCCGAAGTAAAATACTTGCTGATTCTAAGTTATTCGATACATTAGTACCAGTAGAGCCGAGTAGAGCTGAGCGTTTACATAAAATATCCCCCTGTTTGGAATCTGTCAAAACAAAGCAAAAATTAATGGATTTTTTTTTAATTTGCTAATTCTTATTAACAAAGCTACTGTAAAGGTGATTTGACAAACATAATTTTTCGTGTTTTCAACATCTTTCACGTGTACCAACTTCATAAATGTGGTTCGTAACAAACAAATGTACAATAGTTCAGCTCAGTAGATAAGTTTGGGTTATATGAAAATAAAATTAGTGAGAAAGACCACATGGCAATCAACGGCAAGGAGTATGTTGGATTGAGCTACATAGATAAGCGACCTGCTTGAATATCTGTGCTACCTTTTTCTGCCATCTAGATATTTCAACAAGTTATCTGTTCTCTTGTTTGTTTTAATATATCAATATGCTTACTAGTCTTATAACCTATTCACGTTTACTCAAGTTTACTACATTTCGCTATGCAACTTACAAAAGAGACTAATCGAAAAGAATGTACATTATTCAGATGTCGATTCCTGAACTGCTAACATTTAACTGGCGACTACTCAATATTTGTCACAAGGATCGGTCAAGAAATAAGAACAGGAGACTTGTTGAAATACTTTGTGCTGAAAATTCTATATTGTACCAATGATATAATATTGAATAAAGCCGCCAATAATAGTAATAGTGATTACTTGGTTGGGGCTAGCTAGACTATTGTAACCAATGGTTAGAGACTTCGGGTGACATGGCTCCGAATCGTTGGCAGTGACATGACTGCATCCTCACTGTTTGTCTTTCCTCAGATCCTAAATTTCTTAGTTATTTCAAATTTATTTTCCATACTACAAATCTATATTTTCTTCTCGAATCGTATCTTCGTTGCCTAATCTTTTCTATTACTAATTCTGTTACTATCTCTACTACCCTGAAACTTTTATTACACCATGTTAATGATGTATGGCAACTTGAACCGACGTACATGTGTACCAGGTTCTACTTGGAGGATGACTGACTGACCAAGGAGTACATTCAAATCGATATTAAACCAACCAATAAAAAAGATTCGACAGTTGAAAAAATATAGGTTTTCCTATTATATAGTTGGTGGTAGCTTCCAAAATAACCAGGACTTTTAACACTTAAAGGTGCCTTCATTAGAGGGGCGTTATCCTTAATCTTAAGAGAACTGATGTTATTAAGAAGTTTCCTGTCAGTGACATATACATACTAGCTATTTTGCAAAGTAAATTTGAGCTATAATCAGTAAGTTATTCAGTTTTAGATTAACTAATTTATTATTTTAGTACATAGTCAACGCAGAAAAATATTCATAAAATTTTCCTACAACACAATATTAAAGTGAAAGCTATTCCGCTCATAATTTGAATCAAAGTGCGGAGCTTAAACTTAAGCATTTTGAGAGACTAGTTTCAAACACAATGAGAAGTAAATAGGCTACAAACTACGACCCACCTATTTTACTTCCATACGATGAATTGGCATCAACCAAAGTAGCGGTCTACAAGAGATTGAAGTTAACAAACATTCTGTTGAAATTGACGATATAAAAGTAAATTATAAGATACATGTTAACAATTAAAAAAATCGACTAATAACTTGAGTCCTATGTGTTTTGATTGTACTTAAATGCCAGTTACAGCAAGGTGGTAAACTAATGGACTTTCAAAACATTCCATACACGACAAACACAATATTGATAACAACAAGCAAACCATATATCCGTGGTTTCAGTAATACAAAAAATATCATTGTTAAGTTTAAAAAGAATCACTTTAATGAACAGATGAAATAGACTATTAAATAGATAGTAGCATAACCATATCAATTTTAAGGAACTTGATAAATGTACTGGAGCAAACATACCAGAAAACTGAAAGGTGGAATTATGAATTGAAATTTCTCATTTAAAGATTACTTTGAGAATAAAAAACCCATAAGAAACATCGATAGAACCAAGATTTTGGTCGAAGTTGACGTTTGTTTTTGGTAAACATATAGGTAGGGTAAGCAAAAGCGACTAGTCGTCTGAAATATTTAAAGATTTTGTTCAAAGATAAAGTGAGTTAAACGCCGGCATAGTTACGACTTTGAACAGTGTCACAACTAAGAAAGTCATTTCAAGTTGTCACACTTGACTACAACACAGAAAGAAATTACATCGAAAGATGCTTACGATTTGGAGGAAATAGAAGAATGAACCCATCAGTAAGTTAGTCATATACACATCGGACGTTGAACAAATGTGCATGTAATACTTCCTATGAGCATCTTGTTTCCTTTAATTATATCTATTAAGAATTTCCAAAAATGTTGACATCCGGTCAACTAGAGGTAGTGTATAATAAGAAATCACTAAATCGCTACTAAATTATAGTCATGCAATTTGGAATTAACTTAAAAATTTAGGAGTAGAATCCAAAGTTCCTATAACTTCTCAGGAAAAAAAATTTACTAAGCTTAATGTAATGTTTTACTCAAACATCTAGTAGCCGATATTAATATAAATGAATACCAAATTACGTTGTTAGAGATGTTCATACCTCTAAAAAAACAAGTTGTAAAACTTGATGTTTCCAAATTTATTCCATACAAATGTGAATATGGTAATTTCACCATCAATTGCCTCAACGCTGTCTTTTTAATATTTTTTACCGTTTTTATTATAAATCTCTTATCAATTGCAAATGTTCTAGTCGACTAATATTTCAGTTCATTTCTGAGGCCATTGTAAATATGTTTAAATACAATAATTGTACACATGCTTCTTTTTTTATGAATCTAAAAATCTTATCATTGATGCCCTACCATTTCACTTCTACATTGATTTGAACTTGGTGTGGAAAGTTGACTTTCTTTTATTACCTATGACAGTCAGTTAATAAAAATTAGTTACATTTAGTTTTGATGATGTATTTTAGATATCCGAATGTTTTTAAACATATTTTCTAGCAGTTAGAGAAGATCAAAAGAAGGTTTTCTTAATCTCATATAGGCTTGTGTTGACTGAGATTAAAATTGACGTTGTTTGGTCCCAGTCAGAGATCCCACTACTTAATCTATTTCAGCTAATGACTCGTTATACGATTATTTTATAAATGCGAACCTACTGTAAGTCGGTACCAAGACTCAAGTAATACCTTAATATGTATCATTACCAAGTTTTGATTTGATAATTTTGAAAAAATTGAGCATTGGGTAGATTGTTATAAATAAATAATATATTTTTAATATCCCAATGAGTAGAAAAATTAGATTTTCTGACGTTTCGTGACTCAGTGTAAGCCACTTCTTCAGAGAATAAATACATACACACAAAATTACTTACAAGTCGCTTATGAATCACCTTGACCGAAATGAAATGACGTGACATTGATTTATTCAGACCTATTTTTGATTGATCACCTAATATTCTTTGATTGTTCCGTTGTACTATTTAAACTTGGATTAATGTTAATTTGGTTACTTATTCTCTGAAGAAGTGTGTTACACTGAGTCACGAAACGTCAGAAAATCTAATTTTTCTACTCATTGGGATATTACAAATATATTATTTATTTATAATGCCTTAATAGTTAAAGCCACTTAGCTCTTGAGAATTGTATCCAAGGTTCAAATTCTGTTAGGTTCTATTGACTAACTTATCAAAAGCATACACTCCAACAGCTAAATTTTAGCGTAAACAAACATGATCTCTCCATAAATGTACATTTAAACGAGGATAAACTTTTACATTTGTTATGAACAATATATTTTAGGAAAAAGAATTATCAAATTGTTTAGGGTATTTATTTTTTTCCTTCCCAAAGATAACAGATCGTTTGCTTGGGTACATTATAACGTCGTCAATATTTTTTTAACATACGTGTGCTTTACCTTATAGTGGAAACTAATAAAAATCAATAATACTAAGTAGAAAATTATAAATGTACATTGTACATACGCATACATATACAACACATGCTAAAAGAATAGAACTATAAAATGGACACCCAAATACTGTGCAGCCTTATAAGATAATGCCAACAATCTGTAAACTAACGTTATATCGACAAATAGTGTATCAAAAATGCACACACGTACACATATACACGGGTTTGTTTCTAACTATGATTAGCAAATATAATATGTTATAGTATAGGATAGAAATGAACGAGGTCAAATTGAAAAATCAATATTATTCGTCAATCTAAACAACAATTCGAATCTTGTTAGACTTTATGCTTTATCTTTAAAATGAATAGAAATTTTTAAGAACACAAGGGGGAGAAGAATAGGAAGGAAAGAAATCAGGAAAAAAGTATCGTCAAGGAGTAAAAAAATGGTTGGCAAAAATAAAAATAATTTGAATGAATGTTGGATAAATACGAAGAGGATAAAAAAGGCAAAAAAAATATAATAGATACCTTTTTCTGTCAGGAAACAAGTAGGCTAATTCGAAACAAATAAAGCATACACAGAAAGAAAACGCGAGTACGCACGAATATCACATACACAAGCGAGCAGGGGTAAATTGAATATACGAAAGAAGGAGACAGTGTGACAATATTCACATGTGTTAGTTATGATTGTACATTTAAAAAGAGATTTAAAAATGCAAATAAGGGAAAATTAAAAAAAAGAAACTAAATAGGCAATAATTTCTCAATTGCAAAAATATTCTGATAGAATATATTTTTAACTGAAATATAGAGAAAAACAGCAGGTGTTCAAACTACATCTAGGAATTTTTCTTATGGTGTTTAATTAACAGGGATACTGCAAGGGAATACTAATCAGTCAGACAGTTAGTCAATAAGTCCATGAACGAATAATTGAGATATATATTAAAAGAGAACGAAAGATGTCTTTTCAAAACATAATCTTACATAAAATATACATAAGTCTACTACTTCCTACTGGTGTGTGGTACTTATGGGGACAGATATAAGTAATATGCAGTGGGAATTGGAAGTGGAATGCAGAAAATTGAAATAAAGAGAAGAGAAAGGAAAACAGAGAGCAATCTAAATGACTACAGAATTGGAAGAATGATGAAATATGCAAAGAACAACTAAAGCGAGATGTGCAAATGATGTTTTTCAATGTATGATTTTCATATTTTAAAAAGGCGCTGTATGATTTTGCATAAAACTATATTTTACCATACCAGTCTTCGTTCACTACACTGGTTGTATTGCAATCACCTTAAGACAGAAGTAGGTCGGCAAAAGTATTCGCTAGGCTGTGTATTAGAATACCTAATAATTTTCCATTAGAAAAATGAATTAGAACCCAAATTTGATGCAGAGTTGAAATCAATTTAGCTCTAAAACGATAAAAACTCTACCCAATGATTACGAGCGGTAGATAACAAGAAAACTACAAACAGAAAATGTGTTGGAAAAATCACAAGATTAATAGTTGTTTGAACTTGCAAGGTGGAGTAGGAGCTCTAAACTTTAACAAATGATGAGACTATTCGGGCGAGAGACAAATCAATAATCCACAACTAAACCAGGACAATGAATAAAATACTCTAAAACCATTTTAACTATCCTTCACTCGTATTTCAGATGCCTACTGTTCAGTCTACCAGTTAGAATGGATGACCATAAAAATTGAGTGTTGATTGATCATGATTGAAAAATTTTCGAATTTATAAGAAAGGACGGAAATCCCGTTACTGTAACCACAGAAGAATTAGCTTGATTAGCAAAGTATTTGGGATCGATCATCACTCGACGCTTAACTAAACCTCGAAATCACCAAATCCTAGAGAGTTAGTGACTGACTAGTTGATCCAAAAAAGATGAGTTTAGCCTTTGCTATCTCATACCACCTTTCCCAGGCATTTGTTTTGTAACCCATCAGAAAACTATTTACTGCACAACAGTCTGATTTATATATTACTCTAAGGTTGGTGAATATATCGAGTGAACGGAGAAGACATGCGCAGAACTCAAATATTCGGTCACAGCTGGCTTGGAAGCGTTGCACGTGGATGTGAGGAATATGGAATGATGAATAATGCTAACAGAATATGTAGAGCACTAAGTTAATTAGCATGTAAACTAATGTTGATTGATGTTATTGGTATGTGACGTACTCAAGCTGTCACTACCTACATAGATGCGGTAGGCTGATTATCGTAGAAGTGTACAGAAGGATAGTTAAACCGTGACACATTAGGCGTCTGAAGCACAGCTTTTGTGGTTGGCGGTAGTGAGAAAAATTTAATTAGTTATTAGAGTCTTTAAATATGACTCTCGAAAAGTATTGTTTGGTACAGCTGTAGCTATCTGTGATATATAATAGAAAAAGTATCTTATTTACATACATACGTCCAAACAAACATGGAAAATACAAATAAACAATGAATACAACAAAGCACAATTAACTTTAAAGAAAATTGGTAGGATTGCACTAAAATGAAGTAAATAAACTATATGACAAAAATATTTCTTATTGGAAAAATTGAAAATCCTCTGGGTATAAAAAAAAGAACTTTTAATGATAACCGTATATCTAGATATGCTCATTTTATCAATATAAAAATATGTGTTTCTTCGGGTTATTCACACTATATACCAACACGTTAGCATGCCATATATCGACTTTGACAGGCAAACTGAGTACATGCAGAACATTTCATTATCACCATCCGTGTAAAGTATATGCACGTAGAAAACTCACTAGTGATTTTACATGACCGTCTAAGATATGGTTATTTTTTTTTAGAAAGAAACGAGTTGTAAATTAAGAGATATTTAAGGTGGCACATTACATCATTCCTATTAATATTTCACTCAAAATATAATTAATAAGCACTTTACCTGATTCTGATGATCCTTGAAATACATGTTGCTCATTAGAAGAAATGGACTCTTTAAAATGTTCATTTAAATCACAAGAAGAACCATGACCTTCAGAACTGGTTTCTGACAACTTTGTTGTATCATAAATTAAAGGAGATGATGGTATGCTAAGATGTTCTTCATCTATACTACGAATAGTATGCAATTCATAATGGGCTCTTCGACAAGAAATTGGAGATGAGAGGTTTCCTGTTTTTAATATTTCACTAACCTTGATCTCATTAGTTGTGTCTTTTGATGATTGTCTAACAACATCACTGTCTTTTGATGTGGACAAATTATCAGTTTCCTCGCCAGAATCAGTTTGAATATGCTCAACCACAGATTGCATTATGTGTTCGGTTATATTTTTATTGTGTGTCAAGAATGTAGATTTGGCATTTGGAAATTCTGAAGATGAGGAATGTGAAAATGTACAACAATGATCTGTTGGCTGGTGATCTTGGTTGGGATTATGAATACTTGGAGATTGTGTGGTCCGTGAAGAGAAACGTATTTGTGAAGAACTAGGAGATGCACGTGCGCGAAAATCTTCGGTAGCTTTTTCCATAAAATTGAACTATAAAGCAGATAAATTTATTCATCAGAAAAATCTTAACAGTGTTTGAAAACCCGAAAGTCTGAAATTTGCTTTAAATTAGTATCAAGTGAATTACAACTAGGAAGCAGCGATAAATTTAACATCATACGGGACTACAATTAAATGTTGACTAAAGATGATATTTTTAAACAATATATATATATATATATATATATATATATATATATATATAGGAAGAAATGGATCTTTAATTATTTAAATAGATGGAAAATATAGTATTCCATGTAAACTGGTAACAAACAAAGCAATGAAATAAAATACTACAGTTATGACCATGAGAGTGCAACAGTATTTTATTAAAATAAGAACCTTCTTCATATATACTTAATTTCTGAATGAGTAAATGAACACTAATTCATATGGTGATCATCAACATAAAATAAATTGGTGACCATTACCGTCGATAACATGTACTTTAATATTCAGGACTATACTTTTTTTCTTTTGACGAATACATGGAATACTTGGATAACTTTATCAAATGATGGAAAAGAAATTTTTGCTTAGTTCTGCTAGTTTGAAACCAATTTATACTTTGAACCTACCCGTACTTATACACGAATCGAATACAGTTATCAACTCCAAGAAACAACTATATCTCCTTGATCTGTTTAATTGCTGCAGTAAATGCACTGTAATCTTACATGTGACGCAAACTAAACAGTTCAACAAGCCAATGTATACAAACTGTATGTTGAGGATAGACAATGGAAAGCATTATATAAGGATACTTAATATGATGAGAGATTAGATCATGAGTAGTAAACATTTTAGTGGTTATTGGAATCAGATAACAGTATACGCATGAGTGGATTAAGCTGTTATATATAACTATCGTGCCTCAACATTCCAGACTAAAGTAAATGGAGTGCTATTTAAATCAGTGACGTAACGAATAACACTTGAGCGCTTATATGTCTACTGGATAATAACAATAAAAAAAACACATAATGTAGCCAATTAGCGAAAAAAAAAGTAGGAAGAGGTGACCCTCAACTAAAAATTTATTTTAACTAAATAGCTGTGTTCGAATGTGAGTCTGTGATTTGTGAAAGATTTTTAGTACACATAATGTTTAAGTCAACAACATTTATATGAACTCAAACTTATTTGACCTACCTCTGCTGTGATGCTGGCGATCGAATTCCCAGAAGGCTGACCAGCAGCATTTGTATTGGTAGATATACTTTGGTTGGTTACGGAAAGGTTGTTTCCTCCGCTGACAGACTGAACCGCAGGTGGAGCAACAATATTAGACGTACTTGTTCCTTCGAGCAAGCTACCTGATCGATCAATGAGTGGTATTTGACGTCGAATGGTATCACTTATATTGACGGAATTCGTTTCCAAATCTCCATCAGAATTAGGATTAGTTAGCAAATGCATTAATAATAGTTCTGCGCGACCTCGTGAATACGACTCTACAAAAACATACTTGGGTAAGTATCTTAAACAACTTAAAAACACTACGTACGTTCTGTTAGTCTTAATTAATGGCTGAATTCATTTAAACTAAGTCACAGAAGTTAAATTCACTTAGTGTTGTTCACTTGTATCTTCCCATTGTTATTTAGAACTGCAATCGAATAGTTTCTTGTTGGCGTATGTGCATCCTGCGCGGACTGCCTCGATGTTGCCGTAAGTCACAAGCTTTATATGCTAAAATGGATAGTGGCTAGCAGTGGAATCCAGGACGTGCGTTTCGTCCTATTTGGGGCTCGTCGGCTGGACGTACCTGCATCTCAGAGTTGATGTTCACTTTGGGACTCGAACCCAGTACCAAAGCGTTTGGCACCCCTTAGATTTCAGGTTTTTGAATTCCTTACAAATTTTTTATTATTATCTTAGATTTTCCTCTTGAGTTGTGTCCTAAATGTCTACTCTTTTCTACTACCATTAATTCGGTTGCTACCTTTACTACTTTAGGTTTTAACATGAAAATTTTATATTTGTGTTAGTAGAGTGACATAACTGATGTACACATGTGAAAAATTCTACGTTGCATTTGACTGACTGAAGTCACTCGAATTAGTGATATACACCAATTATCCAAAATGTTGAACTAGTTAGACAATTAAAATCGCATTTTCTGGAGGTAGTAGTACTGTTTTTATTTGTATTACATAAACTTCCTTGTTGAAATAAATTTAGTGTGAAAATAGTGCTATATTTGTTTTACATAGAAAAATACAGTATTGAAAAGTTGAACAAACTGTTTCGCTCCATCAATTAGGCATGAAACCGTACAAATATTATAAAATAGACAGAAGAAAGATCTTAGTGACAACACCGTAGATGCTTCCGTATATTTGAAACTTCATGCGAAAGTCTAAATCATGAAACTAGTTTAGTCATAACTTTCAGCAATAAGACAGAACTACATGTCACCCAATAAAAAGCATAAACGACTATAGAATAAAAATTTATTGCAACTAGCGATTATGAGTGGATGAAATTAAAAATTTTTTAAAGAGAATGAATGAACTACACTGGAGTTTAAAATGTACGACACTTTTGTTCACTGAAACTCATCCATCATATATTTGGACAACGAAAATTAGAGTTTCCAATAAGAAATACACCTAGTGTGTAATAGGCTAAAGTTGACTGGTACCAGTTTTCCTGTATCCTTGGAAACTGACCTATTTTAAGTGAAATAAAGTTAGTGAATGGTGCTTACAAAAAGGAGACTAATAGGGATGAAGTCTATCTCGAAATATATACTGTCTTAACATAAAGTGGTAAGTGGTAAGAGGGTAAAAACTTGAATGTCTGGCTTAAAAATTTGCATTAACGTAAAGCTCTTGTAATTACTTGGACATTATAAGTGTGCGCTCTCAATAAAGTACTTCATAACATTTATAACTGGAGGGACTCACTTTTTCGTTTGCCTAGCTCGAAAATTTCAAGTGCGATTCGTTTGGAGTTGTTATTTAGGTCGCTGAAATTGTTAGTAAAATGTTCGTTCAAATTCCATTAGATAAAAAACAATGCTCGTTGATAAAAGACAAAAAAACTTTTAAAAAAGTGAGAAAACAGCCGTACGTAGATGAATTATGTCATATATTTGATAAAACCCATGGATATACAATTGATTCCAAACCAATGGTGCACGTGGGTTCCACGATCCTGAAGAAGCAAATCGCGTGTGGACTAGCTGTTTGTCACCGCTACTATGGGGCTGCATCTCTTAACATTGCTTCAGTGCCATTTGGATTAGACCACTAGGTCAAAGGCTCAGGGCATGGCCCCCTAAGAAACCACCTGCTTTAATTTGGAGGCTCGGGAAGTATCCCAGCCCTCACACAAATCAAGTGACGACCACTACTGGAAAATTTATTCTTGCTTCAATTAGCACTCAAACAAACCACATTCACAATCATTGGATAACATTCAGTTTTATTTTTTTATACTACGTCACTTATCTATTTTCTTCATTCTCATTTTGTGTATTCTTTCATTTTTCAACTTATAAAGCAGCTCACTTATGGTAAAAACCCTGTCCTATCCAAATGATCTGAAGTCACTGATTGGTCGAATGTTCAACACTATCATCGACTACGAATCCGGAGCCAGCCTTTCTGAAACCATCTATTCCATTCAAACTGTCCTCCTTCAAAGCTCGCACATTAATCCAAATCAGACAACAGATAGGGTTGACCATGTCTTTAGAAAGTCTCAACATTAATGTCTGATGTCTAACTGGGGCCTACATTCAAGACTCTAATGAAGTACTACAAATTCGCTCTCTATCTGTTGCCTCGGAAAGCTTGTTTCATCTGTGTTCATTCGGAGACCCTGGGGCATATTCGTCTGGTTTTGTTGGCGCAGTTGTCTCACTAAGCACTATAGCTGGAGCATCACTGATCGATTAGATACTAACTAACAGCCGGTTATTTGCTGTTAGATTAGAAAGTTTCATCAAACTGCGAAGAAGTCGGTGTGAGGAACGATATTTTCCATCCCCTACGTCCCGACAGATTGCAGCCCGAATGTGATCAACGACGAGTTTTGCCACCCATTAACTATTCTTTTACAGAAAGTGCGTTCGACAGATATTGTAGTACTAACTGGAAACTTCAATACTAAGGTCGGATGCGTAGGCACAGAACATAGTAGTTTAGGTGACCAATGGGGACTTGATGGTCGAAGGTCAGATAACTGTGACCATCTACTGCAACTGTACGCAGACTACAACCTGTTTCTGGCTAACACCGACTACCGGCACAGTCATTGCCGATGTGCTACCTGGCGTCCCTCCCTCTACGTTTCAAAACTGGACTCAGATCGATCACACCGCGATCAGCTACCTCTAGCCTGGTTGTGTACAAGACTCCCGCTCCTTTTGGAAAACCTATCTGGATTCCGATCATGTCCTTGTTTTCCTTAATCTTACCTTAAGTTTCAGTGGACAACAAATCCATTGTTCTAAACGAATCGATGCCAGCAAATTGCTTGAAGCTTTTGTTGCACATAAATATCAAATCGGGCTAGGTTTAAGGCTAGCGATTGGTCCACCGAAAAGTTCTGCGAGGAACAGTCAAACTGGTCTGTTACCTCGCAGACATTGATCAGATTGTCCTGCCCTCCATGGTCCGTAATGATTGATCCACCTAACGAGGAAGAAGTCTTCAAGAAACCCCATCTCCTGAAAAGCCACAAACAACGAGGCCCAGATGACCTATATCAGGCCGTTTTTAAAGAAGGTGGCGACTTTCTGGTTATCGAACTGACTGAGTTATTTACATAGCTCTGGCAATTAGAGAGTGTTCCAACATCATGGAATGAGTCGATAGTTGTTCCTTTCTTTAAAAAGTGTTCACGTCGTTTCTGCCAGGGGATATGTCAACCTCCGGTTGCATCCAAATTATTGGTTGCCATCACATTCCAAAGGTCATCCGAAACCCATGAAAGCCTGACTAGCGATTAGAAGGCTGACTTCCGTTTGGTGGAGAATGTATTGATCATATCTCCATCCTTCGCCAAATGTTGGGGCATTACCGCACTTTTTCCAGGCCAACAATCATTGTGTTTCTTAACATCAAGGCCGCCTTTGATTCGTTAGGCAGCTTGAAAGCCCTATATACTAACACCTCATGTAGAGGCAGGGCAAACAACTACCTTTCTCTATAGTTCCATTCAAGTAGTGGGGTTAGGTAGGGTTGGCCAGTCTCACCATACCTTCCCAAATTTACCATTGATGACGTTCTGGAAACAGCTCTGATGGATGTAGGTAGTGGTGCAGTGAATCCGTTGCCTGGAGAAAGACTTCTCAACCTTGAGTATGAGGATAATATTGTCTTACTGTGCGATTATACCCAAGCCATACAATCCGCACTTAAAAAGTTGGCATTTAGTGTCCATAGGTATGGAATGTGCTTTGGACCTTCCAAATGCAAAGTACTTTTACAAGACTGGCAAGACTCTGAACCTGTACGCACTCTGAGTAGTGAGCAGATAGAAGTAGTCGGGAAGTTCGAACATCTAGGCAGCTGAGTAAGTGCTGGTAATGGCATGAGTGATTTTATTATTTATTTATTTAAACACATAAATATTGGTACAAGGAAGCACCAGATACATATGCGCCTCACAAATCTCATTCGATTTGTGTGAGGGCTGTGATACTTCCCAGGTGCCCAGACTGAAGCAGGTGGTCTTCTTAGGGGGACACACCCGGAGCCTTTGACCGAAAGATCTGATCCACAAGGCAGTGAAGCATCGTGAGGAGATGCAGTCCCATGGTAGCCGGTGATCAACAATAGGTTCATACGCCATTCGTTCCATCAGGATACTGGAGCCCATGTGCACCACTGGTTTGGAATCAGGGTTTTCCAACTCCCCTAGGTAGACCCTCCATGTCCACCAACCCGGTTAAAGTGCCGGACATTCGCTTCTCGTCCTCTCACTTTCGTAAACAACACCCCCGCCACGAGAAGGCAGTGAGTAGGACTTCCCTGGCAGATGCTATATATTCGCGTGGCCATATGAGAGCGTTTCGAGAGGGAGAGCGGACTCTCCTCACTCTCGGCCGTACCAGGGCATTTGGGGGCAACCCCAAGCTAAAACTACACAGCAACTTGAACACGAGAGAAAAGGGAAAAAATATGCGAGAAGCCTTTTATTCTAAAGGTTTATTCATGTACAGAAAATATAGGGTTTTTATATTACTTTAGAAGTCCTTGGGTTTTCCCGAAAATCCTGGAATGCTACTAAGCATAGTAGCAGTATAGTAACCAGACAATCGGAAACTCTACATGTGAATTTTTACTTTCATGATGTTTCTGGCAAAACTTCTAGTGAGCGCTGATTGGATAAAACGCTTCTTGAGCCTTTCTTGTCCTTTGCGAGAAGTTTTCTGGATCACTCGAACACTTATCTAGTAACCACGGTTTAATCTCAGCACTATTTACTCGGTAGCCTCAATATAGAACAGCTATGTTCCGTATAACTCCGCCTGTAGCTCTTCTAGAGTTACTGCCGGTCCCAAACCCGGGTAAAGGAGGAGGGTTGGGTATGGGGTTAGCGACCCCATCCCGTAGAAAAGCGAACTCGCTAAAAAACACTAACCAGAAAAAATAATTCAAACCATTTAAACTCTGCCCTTCAAGTTGAAGAAAGAATTATGACGTCTCATGATGAAAGCCGAAATTCTTTTGGAAGTCACGAGACCGATGCACTTTCTAACAACCAGAGCAACACTCTTTATAGGTACATGGAACGTCCGGACAACGTGGTAGACAGGAGAGACCAGCCAAATAGCAATGGAAATGAGGAGATACAACTTGGCAGTACTCGGAATCAGCGAAACCCATTGGACACAAACTGGACAACAAAGGCTAGGTACAGGAGAGATGCTTCTGTACTCCGGTCATGAACGGGAAAATGCTCCACACACTCAGGGAGTTGCTCTAATGCTGTCCAAAGAAGCACGAAATGCACTTGCAGGATGTGAATCTCATGGATCCAGGATAATCAAAGCATCATTCAAAACAAAGAAGGAGGGGGATCACAATGAACGTTATCCAATGTTATGCACCCACCAATGATAGAAACGACGATGATAAAGATCAGTTCTATGAAAGGCTGCAATCAATTATAGCAAAGTGCTCACGAAAGGACCTCACCATCCTGATGGGAGATCTAAATGCTAAAGTTGGAGTGGACAACACAGGATATGACGATATAATTGGACGACATGGACTAGGAGAGAGAAATGAAAATGTGGAGAGACTTGCAAACCTATGTGCATTCAACAAATTGGTTATAGGCGGCACAATATTCCCACACAAACGCATACACAAAGCTACATGGATCTCACTGGACCAAACCACAGAGAATCAGATAGATCACATCTGTATCAACAAAAAATTCCGAAGATCAATGGAAGATGTGAGAACCCGGAGAGGAACTGACATAGCTTCAGATCACCACCTGGTTGTGGCCAAGATGAGACTGAAGCTTAAGAAACACTGGACAAACAGCACTACAAAGGTTCAATACAGCCTTCCTTCGAGATACTGACAAGCTCAATGAATTCAAGATAACTCTCAACAACAGGTTCCAAGCTCTACAGGATCTACTGAAAGAACAAGAAACTACTTTGGAGGACAACTGGAGAGGGATCAAAGAAGCACTAACTTCAACGTTTAAGGAGGTTCTGGGTCGCAAGAAACATCATCATAAGGGATGGATCTCTATGGGAAACCTGGACAAAATTCAAGAAAGGAAGAACAAGAAACTAGCAATCAACATCAGTCGAACACGAGCAGAGAAAGTCAAGGCACAAGCAGAATACGCAGAAGCAAACGAGGAAGTGAAGATGGGCATTAAAGCCGACAAGCAGAAATACATGGGAGAACTAGCAACGACGGTGGGAAAAGCTTCAAAGGAAGGGAATATGAAACAACTATATAATACAACGAAGAAATTGGCAGGGAGATATAGCAAACCAGAGAGACCAGTCAAGGACAAAGAAGGAAAGGCAATCTCTGAGATTCAAGAACAGAGGAAAAGATGGGCAGAATACTTCGAGGAACTGCTGAATAGGCCAGCCCCATTGAATCCACCGGACATCGAAGCAGCACACACTGACCTTCCAATAGATGTCACTCCACCAACGATGGAAGAAGTGAAGATGGCCATCAGACAAATCAAAAGTGGGAAGGCGGCAGGACCTGACAATATACCAGCAGAAGCACTGAAGTCAGACATTGAAATAACTACAAACATACTTCACCTTCTATTCAAGAAGATATGGGAAGACGAACAAGTGCCAACGGACTGGAAAGAAGGATATCTCATCAGGATACCAAAGAAAGGAGATCTGAGCAAATGTGAGAACTACAGAGGCATCAGTTTGTTATCAGTACTAGGAAAAGTTTTCAACAGAGTACTGCTGAATCGGATGAAAGACGCAGTAGACGCCGAACTTACGGATCATCATGCTGGATTCCGTAAGGATCGGTCGTGCACAGACCAGATTGCGACACTACGGATCATCGTTGAACAATCAGTTGAGTGGAACTCATCACTATACGTCAACTTCATTGACTATGAGAAGGCGTTTGACAGCGTGGACAGGAGAACATTATGGGAACTTCTTCGACACTATGGAGTTCCTGAAAAGATTGTCAACATTATCCAAAACTCATACGATGGACTACAGTGCAAAGTGGTGCATGGAGGACAGCTGACAGATGCATTTCCAGTAAGGACCGGAGTCAGACAAGGCTGTCTACTCTCCCCATTTCTCTTCCTTCTAGTGATTGACTGGATTATGAAGAATTCGACATCTGAAGGGAAATACGGAATACAATGGACTTCTCAGAATCAATCAGATGATTTGGACTTCGCAGATGACCTAGCCCTCCTCTCTCATACACACGACCAAATGCAGATGAAGACAGCAAATGTAGCAGCAGCCTCCGCATCGATAGGCCTCCACATTCACAAAGGAAAAAGCCATTAATAATAATAATAATAATAATATTCTCAAATGCAACACGGAGAACACCAACCCAATCACACTTGATGGTGAAACCCTGGAAGAGGTGGAAACATTCAAGTACCTGGGAAGCATCGTTGATAAACAAGGAGGATCGGATGCAGATGTAAAGGCAAGGATTGGCAAAGCAAGGGCAGCATTTCTACAGTTGAAGAACATATGGAACTCAAAACGACTCTCAACCAATTTCAGGGTTAGAATTTTTAATACGAACATCAAGGCAGTCCTACTGTATGAAGCTGAAACGTGGAGAACTACTACGACCATCATCAGGAAGGTACAAGTATTTATAAACAGTTGTCTACGCAAAATACTCAACATCCATTGGCCGGATACTATCAGCAACAGCGTTTTATGAGAGAAGACAAACCCACTTCCCACTGAAGAGGAAATTAGGAAAAGACGTTGGAAGTGGATCGGACATACATTAAGGAAATCACCAATGTGCACCACGACTCAATCCCTAACTTGAAATCCGGAAGGGAAGTGGAAGGCCGAAGAACACACTACGCCGAGAAATAGAAGCCGATATGAAAAGGCTGAATAGTAACTGGAAAGAACTGTAAAGGAAGGCTCAGGACAGAGTTGGGTGGAGAATGCTGGTGAGCGGCCTATGCTCCTCGACGAGGGGTAACAGGTGTAAGTAAGTAAGTATGTTCCGCATGCATTTATGGTCAAATAGCAGTAATCCACGAATAACCTCTTTCGAAAAGTCGCGTCTTGAAGACATAAAGTAGGACAGAGAACTAATGTACAGTAAACCCTCACTAAGCATAAGGTAGATGCAAGCTGGAACTGTGTAAACAAACTCATGGTCGGATAAAAAGTGATTGTGACTGTCAAGCAAAAATCTAGATTATAATAAGCATGAAAAACTGAAACGCCTTTTCTACAGCATTTAAAAAAATTCTTTGACTCACAATAACAAGTGTTGATCCCAAAATAACTGACCAGACATGGAACAATGAGTTGAATGTCTTTGATAAGGTTCATCCAATTCTACGACGCAGTAAGCACCCGAAATGCCTGAATATCATCATTAAAAAAGAAAGACCTACTTTCTTTACTTTTGATAAAAAAAATATGTGGTATGGATTTATGATTAAAGTCAGTGTGGAAAAGCATGGTTATACCGTTATAAATAATGTGCTAGATATTTAAATAACTGCTGGCTTGGAGCAAATATAAGTGTCATATCTGTGGTTCGAAAATAAAAATGAGCACAATGATTCCTTCTTTAAGTCGTTTAGTCAGATGAAAACACTTGTCTAGGTGGCAAAATTTAGCTCGAGTAAAGCTAAAATCGTATAATGATATTGATGAATCGAAATAGATATTCATTATAATGGCAATTACAGTAAATATCACTTTATTTTAGATAGCCAGTTATTAGGATAATTAAAACAAATATTAGAACATGCGTATCGTGAGCTACAGACATTCTCCATATCAGAAATAAATGCAACTGTATCAATTCACATTTGAATAGCCGGTTTTTCTGACGTAGATCGAAATCGCACTAAATCTATTGTATTTTTTGTGTTAAAGCTGTTTGATAGTAATATTTATAAATTAATGCATATCAGTAAATAAAAGGAGTGCACTGAGTGATGAGTGAGGTGAATGATATTTTACTTACTAATTATGTCCTTCCATTATTATGTTTACTCAATACGCAGAGTTCTTGATGTCTATGTTAGGGTTTGCTTTCAAAACAATATAGCTTTCTGAAAATCTGACAATCTATGTAAACTTTCGGTCTCCCGAACTTAATGTTCCGAACTAAACTTTTTAGTTTGCATGTTGCTGAAAAAGAAGGAACTGAGTATAATGAAGCTATCATTTTCTGCTAACGCTATTATTCCTGCTTTGTTTAAATTTGTGCAGAGGACCAACCAAAATAAATGAAACTATCTAGATGAACGATCTCACGCATCTCATTTCACATTCAGTACCAACACATAGTGTATAAATAACAACCAGGACACCAAGATACAAAATCAGAAATGGCTGAAGATCTCACTAGAAAATCTGCGACTTAGATTAAATGAAAGCAGTTCATCCACCATGTACAGATTTATGTTATTGTGCAAATACAATCCGAATAAATTCGCAAAAATAGGGATAATTTACATGTTTTCCCAAAACTTTCTATCTATAAAACTTTTAAAAGTGACTAATAATACAGAAACTAAAACGCTCTACATTTTGTGAGCAAAAATAATCAGTGTTGTACACTTGTGCTTCAATCAATATAAAAGATTATCGGAAGAACTTACCTTTAACTGACAGTTTATCTGCCTTAACTACTTTAACCAGAAGCTTTTTGGATGCGAAATTGTTTGCCATGCGTTCCCTCAACGGTGACACATCTACTTTAGTATTTGGTTTACGCACTGGTACTGTGTTACTGAACTCCTGTAACGAGTCTTTATGATCAGAACTTTCAGTAACTGAGGTTTCAGTTTCTTTTCTCTTCGCCAATTCTGTACTGATCGCCTCTGATTTATTAGATGGAGCAGAGATAGTTTCCATTCGTACTTGAACCGCAGACTCAATTTTACTGCATCCTAAATCCTGGCAGTTCGCACCAGCAACATCTTCTAACTCAAAACTTCCTAATTCTCGCTCTTGAAGCAAACTGGATGTTCCCTCTTCCCCATAGCAAGATGCTGACCTGACCACTTTACATACAAATGGCCGTGGAGCATGGCGAGCTACTAAAGACTGGCGCAGACGAGCGTTATGTGCGAGTACAACTGGAGTAAACGACTTGTCTTTCTGAACTAACGACTGAGAACTCTGTTCTCCTGGCATCACAGTTTTTGCCTCAGCATGTCTTTCAGATTGAGACCGGTTTAAATCCTTGAAATTGGATTCACATAACTGCGTTTTGACATCGATGTCAATCCAGTTGTGAAGTGAATCTGAGGAATCTGTATCTCTGGGTTCTCTTTGCAGTAAGACATTCTTGACATAAATGAAAAATACAGGTAGTATGTCCTTTCATTAAAGGAGTAAATGACCAGACAAACCAACAGAGAATAATCAACTTATATATATATATACTTCAATTCTACTGATAAGGATTTTGTTTAAAAAAAAGGCATTATGAGCTTTACTTTCGTATTATTACCGGTGAAGTGTTTTAAAGGTTAAACACCTCAATACGGCAAACTACTAAACGTTTTATGACAATTCAATGCATTATTGTAGTCACTATCCAGGAAGCAACCGTTATCCGGCTTTCATAAAGGCTTGTTATAGTTCTCGATGGAACGGTTAGGTATTTTTGAATGGCAAACGATTGGGGAATTTTTCCAATATGATATAGGATATGTAACAGACAGATAAGATGACGAACACCGCAATACTTCAACATTAATAATCCGCATCCAGGTAAAGGAGAGAATTCTGAAGGTATATTAATTTACATTAAAGTTAATTCAGTTATAAATCTATTAAATTCAACGATTATTAATCACAAGATTTACCAAACTGAGTAATTATCACTTGGATGCGAAATCATTGAATTAATAGGTATGGTGGAAGATACATTGAGAATCAGGTAAACTAACTTAAGATCGAAAAAATAATTACGACTGAAAATGAACCGAAAGTAAATGAACGACGCTTGTTTTAGATCACTATGTAGATTGATTCCTTTCTAAACATCGAATTTGGGGATTCAGAATCCCTGACAAGCCTCTCAATTGATTGCATATTCAGTGTTCCTTCAATGAAATATAACCACCAAAAGATAAAGGACAAGACGATTTAATTGATTTATCCTCAAAAACGTTTGGTGACAGTTCTTAAGAATGAAGACATTGTAAAGAGATCTATTCATTAACCACTTGTCTTTATTCAGAGTATTTACCAGTTAGGCTTACGGTTAATATTTACTGAGTAATCCACTTTCTGGACATATAATCCATTAGATTCCTGACTGCCAATATACATTAATATGAGTCTCAAATAAAAACTAAAACCATTTGCAGAAAAAGTCAGTTTTACAGACTGCGAAGATTCGAGACGAGAGTATTAACACGTACCAAGTAATCCCTTCTGAAAACAAATGACAATAAACAACTTAAGCCGTTAAAATTAGAATACGGAACACTCACCAAATATGCCCACAGATAACACAAAAATGAATACCGAGTGACGGCTAAGAATGAATATTGATACTGTTATTCATTTACCAATTATGGTTTCGTGTGCTCGCCTTTGAGCTACATTGTTAAGTTAGTGAGACTACCTGGATGTTAAAACTATAGTTTGAACCCGTGAACTGGCCACTGAAAGTCAATCGTTTTAACGATTGAGTGAAATCCAGTCAGTTATAAGCAATGACGAACCAGACATATGGAACGGATTAAAATGCCACACTTTAGCACACCAAGGTTATATTAATAGGGCAAATCCCAGAGTAGCAAGACTAACAGTGTATGGTAACAGAAAAGACTAAGCATGGATAATTCAAGGGGAAAATACTGGTAAGTAGAATTTTTAAGAAGTTGTGAAGTAATTTAACAATATTGTTTGCTTTTCTTAATAAAATCACGTAGAACGAGCTTTAAATAGTCAACGTTTATGCACTTGGATACCTAACTGTAGACATGCGATTCACGTTTCGGTAGTGCTTTTCTAACCCTCTCGCAGTACATGGTTTAAGACATAAGACACGAGACCAAACTTAGTCGTTGAGTTACGTTCATTTTGTTTGTTCTATAAACCAGCAATGCTTGGAATATACGAATGATAAAATATCTATGGTAGAGGTCTGTTTTCTGTTTTTAGTGGCAGTGCTCATAGCCATGGAGTGTAACAGAAAGGAGTTTTATGTAGTGCACTTATCTTCTAGTAGATAGATGGAGTGGGTTTTAACATTAAGGACTATACTAAAGTACCGAAAACGACTAAGTCCTTGTGTTCTAACACCTTAAGTATTTTTAGTTGAAGCGAAAAGTGTTCTTTGCGGTTTACTAACAATTAATATCATTCCGAGTAAAGTATAGCGTAAAATGAATGTTTTCAGATATGCACTAACCTGATCAGGTGAATGGTCGTCTGTTTGTATTGAAGCCACCAAAGGGTCTTTGCTATGGTGTATGGAACCATCCGGAGACCAAGACACAATTAATTCTGAAATTATGTCGATAAGTAGTTGTTTGAATTTTGAGGGCTACAAAAGATCCGAATTATAAAGAGACAAAACTTACAGATAAGGGTATTACTGGATCCATCAGTAAATCGAACTGTGGTATAGATTCAGAGTGCATTTTCAGTTCCAACAGGACTAAATCATCAACTTTCAACATACAGCACGTCTGAAATTGAATAGATAATCTAATTAACAAACCTTCATATGGTAGTTCCTTAGTGATAGTGTCACTTTCTGTGGTGATTTGGTTTGAATTGTGACTACATCCCCATGCAAACACAACATTGGTATAGAAACAGAAAAATATAAAGCCTAGGCAATATACGAAAATAATTAATACCCACCACCCAGTCAGGTAAATCTTCGTTACGTACTTCGAAATCCGAAATCTTTACATCAGACAGTGTGTATTCCGAAACAGGAGTAAAGTGAATAGACGTTTCCCTCTGAATAGTAGAATTGTGTACACTTAACAACTTACTAAAGAGTTGTTAATACAGTCATTGATTTTCTGCAACCAAATGTTGCACAACCCGGACGCTGTGAAACTACACGACTTATATATTCGACGTAGACGCTCAATGTCTGAAGTCCCATGCTTGAAATAGTCCACAGTTTTGAGGGTGGTTTTTCGACATTTGAGCTCTCTGGACCAAACCTTTTGAAAGGAATAGGCTGTCACAGATATTATTAAGAATATTGTAGAAATTAGAACGAAGCCATTGGCGGTCTTCAATAAGACCTTAAGGTTCAGAAACGTAGAAGAGAATAAACTTTTAACATCTGTCCAGTTGTAAACGGCAATTTTAGCTATAAATGCCTCCATTCCATCATCGTGGCGTACACAACTGAAGAGAAGTCATATGCCCGCTGTCTTTGATATCGCGGACAATTCAGTTGTTACGTTTCAGTTTCGGTTTGGAAAGGACAGGAGACTAGATGACCTGTGTTAGTTCCGAAAATGATGGTCTATCAGTTGATCCAACTTCCCTTTGAAATATTCGACAGATGGAGCTTCAACCACTCTTTGAGGTAATGAATTCCACTCCTTGATGATTCGATGGGAAAGCAGATAGTCAGCTGACAAGTAATTTGTTTTTGGGCTTGTGAACACTTTTGGATTGTCCTCACAAATTTTCTGTTTTGGAAGACAGGAGGGTATATCAGACGCTAATTTACCACTAAGTAGTTTGAAAACTGTAATCCAGTCACCTCTAGTTCTTCGATATGACAACGGAAACAGGTTTAGCTTAGCCACTAAAGCATCATACGGAAGCTACACTATTCCGGGAATCAGCTTCGTTGCTGTTCTCTGAACATTTTCCAGAAACTGTTTTTCTAAGCAGGGGCTAGCCGCTTGTATGCAGTACTCAAGTTTAAGACGCACGAATACTGTCTACAAAATCGAAAAGTTTCAGCGTCAACATTACTGAAGGACCTACGTATTGACCATAGGGTTCTAAAACCTCTGTCGGCTATTGCACGGTAGTGTGTGGTAGTTTTTGAGTCTTGACTAGCGTTGACTCTTAAGTCAGTGTGTCTGGACAACAGATGGCTTAATGTTACTCATCATGCATGTATCTGTACCTGGATAACCAATATTCATCACGATACACTTGAAAATATTTATCCGCAAACCATTCAGATTATTTCTTCCTGTCATTTCGAAGTTGTATCCTAAGTTGGAATGGCGGAATCTCTGTGTTGATCCATCATGAGCCTGGGGCGAAAATAGCAGGTGGGATTCCTTGTTTCGCGGCTTTGATACTGTAGCTGTAAATAATTCCCCAAAATCAATAGCTCGTAAAATGTTCGATATTGGATGCTGACCACGTTGTTTAAGTGGACTTGTTTAACTGAAGGCTTTCGGTCATGCATCCGCACCAGATCACGTTTCGACTCGGCGTGGGACACAGCTTCTACGTTTCAATAGCTAGCTAAGAACAAATGCCTCCCGATATATTGTAACGTATCAAATATATCTTACCTACCTCTTCTCGTCTGACTCCTGATTTCCACTGGACGGGAAAAGCTGAGCATATAGAAGGTGCTACTGGTCGCTAGTTGTTAAACTAGAATACCAGTCGTATCCTCAATACTAAAGCTACACATAACTCCGCAATTTAAATGGCAGTATAAACATTTTATTTTTCAGCTGGCCTTTCCAGTTTGCGGACATCACAATTTTGTTGCTGTTTGTGCCTCTCAATAATACCAACGACTATATTTTATAAGTTATTGCTTGAGTGGATTGTTTCAGTATTTCTAAATGTTCTTAACTATTTCATTAAGTTTGTACAATGCCTATCTTTGGAATCCAGGTTGTCCATTTCGACCTACCAGGTAATGCCTTGGGAGATTTGAGATAAAGGTATTATGTTCGAGTACTTGAGAGAACACCACCTCTGAGATCCAGGTACATCCAACTGGTGAGTCCTAAATAATGCGAAACACATGCATCATATTCTACCACTATCTACTTTCTGACTGTAGAGATACTACTGGCTTACAGCGTCCGGTTAAACATAGTGGAAAAGTCTGGGAAGAGTCTAGATGAGGCCATTCTGGCCCCTTAAGCAATTATCCCAGGGTTTTAACTTTCATCTATCTTTCCCTACTTCTGAGTATACCATTTTTTCCCTAAACGCTTCCTTGCTTGATCCCCGGATAACTTACCTTATGTATTCTAATGTCAGCACCATCCATTCTGTGTCATCAGTGCCATCAGTGTCATCCTCATCAAACTTTAAACTACAAATTTTGTTCTTTTTATTCATGTCATTATAGTAGAGAGTTTATAAAGATCTGGTGCTGTTGAGCTTTGACCACATCTAAGTTCCACCACTTGTAGGCTCTTTTTGACATAAGCGGTCAGTTGATGTGTATTTTTCTGATTTGTAGGTTCATCTCCTCTTTCTCGCCATCGCATGATTGGTGAGCAAGCAGAGAAATACATTATGACCGGAAACCCAGAGTGCCCTGGTTTCGTTTGTTCTTAGTGACGCCACACACTTGGTTTTCTCCTACCGAAGACTACCATAGGTGCAATATCGCATGCTAATGTTCACAACTACAGTAGTTATGTAGATTCATGGTCTACTTCGTTATTAATGCTGGTGTAACAGTAGACCTAATCCTAAGATTGTAGATTTGTCATGATATAACTGCCTAGTCTATAAGATCCCACGTGGAAGTCACATCATTGTCAACACTTACTAATCTTGTCGTAACAATCAACAATATATGATGGAGAACACATTTAGGCTGGAGATAGAACAATATATTTAATTTAAATAAAAGGGATAAGACAATAAATAAGAATGACCACGCCTGCAAAGCTGAACTATGCCATCCGATGAGTTGAATTCATTCAATTAATCCTGCTCGCCTTGTCCATCGTTAGGTTTTTCTTTTCCGTTAAAATTTGAATATCGATATTCCCAGTTGTCTCATGTTCAGTTTGGAGGATTGTGTGGTTAAGACTCAATGCCACCACCACACTACTATCCCACAAGAATCAATGTGACGTTGGTTCGACATCATATCGAGTGGGGCTGTTGCGCGCCGACGAAAAATAATAATACTCCGGGTATTGATAGGTTGAGAGATAAATCATGAAGAAAGCTGCATCAGTTGGGCGCGAAATACATGTGGTGATTTCAAAATGTTTGGTTCTGTTCTTAACATGCTAAAAATGGAAATCTATGTGAAGATTATTTAAGAGTTAAACAAAGTGGAATTATTATACTTAGGAATTATTTCGTATAGAGATATTTTAATAAGTCTCCGTGAGCCGAGCAGTAACAGTCGTTGGTTCTGTTGACCGATTTTGGTAATAGTTGCATCAATTTTATCAATCGTCTTACGTGACCTTCCAGTCACGACAATGCTTTATGACGATAACCTAAAACCATCATAATTAACTAGTTATAATATTGATTGAAAATTAGCGAATGGGAAATAGGTAATATTTTTGGATGCTTCTAAAATAACAGAAGTTTGTGGAGTTAACGAATCCGAACTGCCTGGTTATACCATAAATTTCAATTAAAAAATATTTGTCCACATAGTGTTAATTTATTAGTAGGCTCCGGAGTTTCGATTTCAAATGTTTGTTCGGCCAACAAATACCTGATAGCTCAGTTGTAATACTGGCGCAGTATGAAAGTACCTAATAACTAAGTAGACCACAATTCTACAATTATGTTGGCTTTGCCAAGCAAATCAGACGAACGCGTCTAACATAACATCACATGAACTACCTTTTAAAAATTTCCGATGGCGAAGAAATCTCGTAAGGTCCGTGTGACAAGGATTATCTTTAGCAGAGTCACTAATGGATGCTCAACATGTTCACATCGCGGTGTGTAGATCATCAAACACTACTTTACCTACCCCCATGTCACGCATTGACCATTATAGTGCGTGAATGGAGGCAGTCGAGTAGAAAACTGTGGATTTTAGCTTCTCAAAACTTGGGACTTATCAGCGAATAGAATACGTAATCATGAAGGAGCTTATGCTCTCAGTGGGATTCACTCCCTCACCATGCAGCATCATAGTTCAAAAGGTTACGACTTGGCTAGTGGAGATTAGAACGGCTTGTAGAAACGAGGTGTTTACAACCGATGACTCTCTAAGTAATGATCGATCTTATATTTGCGTTGTCCCGTTATACCAATATTTGTCTCCTTGTAGACCCTAAGATCATAAACCTTCTAAAGTCTGTTTTAATACTTATTGTGCAACATGAGGAGCATGTAGAGTAAGGAGTTCCGCTATCTAAACCCACAAGCACGAATAAACAAGTAAAAACACCTTGACTTTTAGCTGTACCGTTATCATCCTGACAACGTGTTATTAGTTGACTCTTAACCACGCGGTTTTAGCTGTTACAGTCGTTCCGTTATCACCGAATTCTGTCTATCAACCCACTTAGCGCGCGATCAACTGCAAGTTGACTGATGTGAATCATAAGCTATGCATGCGCAGGAACCGTTACAATCACTGCATTGATCCAATTTCTTATGTTTACTTTTTCTGATCTGAACGAAATATAATTCATTATGAGTCTAGATAGCAAAGTGTTGTCCATCTTGACAAGAGTTGTCAGTCAATAGACTATTGGAAAAAGCTCACTTTAACGACTTGTAGTCACTGAATCGCCACAAGAAACGTGGGTAATCATGATCTTTCTTAAAATCGGTTAACGAGGCAGCCTTTAGAATCGTCAATTATTCTGGCGACTTCTGGGACTCCCATAAAATAGTTCTGTTGTCATGGATGCGGCCATGAGACTCCGATCTAAGAAGTTCTGTAGGCATATTAGTATTTGCAGTAATAAAAGCCTAGTAGACTATGTGTGTTCCTAATCGCGAATATCCATAATTACGTACTGTGACATGAGCCTGTTTGTTAGCCGAATGTGCTTGGTTGCTGGCTACAAATGCATTGTTAGAATGACGCCATCGTGAGCTTTTTTTTTCAACCAGCTTGTGGTGATTTTGACTTACAGCCATACAATTCTCGGAGCGGAAAATACAATTACTGAGAAGCTTGACATTCACCATGTAACAGTTGGTGGAGGTCGTTAATGGTGAACGCGGGGACATTCATTCTAGATGGCATGGCTTTGCCATACAGACGTGGTTACTTTATGCAAACCCTATTGAATCTTGTATTAAATATGTTACACTCTACCCAGCCTAAATGTGTTCTTAAGGAGTGCTTAGCATCATACTATTATCATGATACGATGAGTCAGAATAGACAATGATGTGGCTTCCACTTATGAGCATACATATTAGGTTTTCACATCATAGCAAGTCTACAATTTTAGGATTATGTCTATCACTGTAGTAGTACTAAAAATGATCCAGACCATACTTCTAAAAGTTTCTACAAGTCTCGCCTTATTTGTTTATCATTCATTCAATATATTCAATACCCGTTGTCTACAATATAATTTAAGCGCATAGTTGTAAAGAGGATCCTTTTCGCTGACTTGATTTCTTTCCTCAATGACACACTGGGTCTCTTTCTCTGTCATTATCGTTTTGTGGATCTCGTATAAACAGGCTGATTTATTTTGTTACGTTATACCTTAATAATCAATATTGTATAATTGTGCCCTCCTGTACAATTATAAAACCGGACTGGAGGAGGTTGATTGAGAACCTTGCGAAAATCCGTGTACCAACATATACACGTTTGGGACGAAGGATATGCCACAGAGCTCCTGGCTGAATGGTATCTCGAAACACACAATCTGAACCCATGAGGACTTGACTTGTATCATAACACGGGTGTATCAGGAACTGCAGCATCTAAATAAGGATAATTCTTTTTGCCCGGATATGGTTCACTTGGAAACTTCGAGAAAAGCGGCTTCAATCTTGACAACACGTTCGCTTAGTAAAAGCACCGTTACATTAATTTGGGAAACGGCTCACATAACACCTATTTTAAAAGGAGGCCGATGTAATCAACTTTCAAGCTAATAGGTAGTAGCACTTCTTTCACAACTCCCGAAAATTGTGGAGTAATTGATAAATGAGTGTCTGCGTGACAAGATGTTGTGCACAAGCTTCTTTTCACCCCGAAAACACAGTTTCAGGAAGGACTACACCTGATTGATCAAACTTATGACGATGGGGGACGGATACACAATTATCCTCAACTGCAAGGGTATAATGGATGTGATATACCTTGACTTTACAAAGGCTTTTGATAGGATTAATCATATATATAAGCCCAATGTATTAAGTACTAAGTCATTATAGACCGACTAAATTCCTATCCAAACAATCGGCATTTTAAGGTCGTCACTAACTATAATTTTTTTTAGGGTACAGAATATCCTGCAAGGGCACTCTAGGGTTCCCTACCGGGACATCTTATCTTAATTTGTGTAATTGATCCTCCTCATAATGTAACTTTCAAATAACTACTTTTCGTCGAAGATGTTGACACTCAGAGAGAAAATTGCAACCGTCATGATAAGCTAGCATTTCAGGAGGATCTGACTGAACTTCAAAGTTGGGTGACTTGCAATGGACTTACTGTCAACACTTCAAAGTGTGAAGTAACTGTCTGCACTTTTGACGTTGAAGCTCATTTTCGGCAAGTTTGACACTTGAAAATTCCACCTGATCTTTGATGGTCTGATTCAGTACCATGTAGAGTATGGAAATATATTATCTCATCCCTCACGCCAAAGGCGAGCCACGAAGTTATTCCGAGAACTGAAATTTAGACTTTGTTTAGAGCGCCCGAAACCACTGGGTCATCACTCATAATGTGTGCGTTTCAGAGGTGACATTTAGTGAATAATAACACCCTTATCTCCCCTGGAAAACCACTAAGATGCTTAAGCTCATTCACAATACACCCTGGGGGCCATGATCAGAAATTAGTGGCATAAAAAATTTGGCAGGATGGACTGTAGGGAAACCTAGTGGTCTTTAATAAAGGCAGACACCCTTAATTTCTGTCGGCAGAAGTAGTTCAGGAAAATTCCTAGTAATCCTTCAAGATAAGAAGATATATTCTTAAAAACTCGGAGTTTTGCATTATAATTTTCTAATATTTCTTTTTTGACGGTTAACTATACCTTGAATTCCTACTTGAAGGAATTGGCGATCTACTGCGGTGAGATATGGAACTCCACTGAAGGAAAGTCTTTTGCCTTCCGTCCGCAGTGTAGCGGTAAATAAACCCCTAAAATCAATAGCTCTGTAAGTGCTCAAGATTGTATGCTGACCACATTAGTTTTTATGGACTCACTTAGCTGAAGGCGCTCGGTCATGTATCCGCACCAGATCACGAATTAGTACGGCGTGCTCAACGTCTCCTGAGATCACTAGCCAGTTTAGACCAGTCACTTCTCGATATATTGATAATCTGTAAAATATATTCTACAACCTCATCGCTTCTGAGTTTTGATTTCACTGTGTGGGCGCGATTCAATTATAGGAGGTGTTACTGGTAAAGTGTTGTCAAACTACAATATCTGTGGTATCTTCAGCGGCATTATGAACGATTTGAAATATTTGTTTCTTCGTGTACGCGTAATCTTTGCTCATTGTTAAACTGTACATGGTTGCAGGTAACACGGTGTACAATGATTATATCTTCATTTACTACACTATACTACATTAAGTCCAATATTACACATATGAGTTGCCTTTAGTGGGAGGGACTTTGACTGGTCAAGGTCATTTTTCAGGGAGCGCGTTATGTGTTGCCGCTGAACTTGTGGGAGGATCGTCGTTTATTTTCGTATACCTACTAAGTCTTAGAAACAGTGAGGGGCTTCAAAATCATTTTTTCAATTCCCAATGACTAAAATCGTCGAAGGATTGGTATCAGTCGTTCTTGGTGCTCAGTGGGGAGATGAAGGGAAAGGGAAGTTGGTGGATCTTCTGAGTGAGTCTTGCAGTGTAGTCTGTAGGTGTCAAGGGGGAAACAATGCAGGTTATTCAAAGTTCTTTCAAAAGATTTTTAGGTCATACCGTTGTTGCCGGAGGACAAGAATATTTCTTTCATCTATTGCCCAGTGGTATAGTGAACCCTAATGTTTTAGCTGTGATTGGCAACGGTGTCGTTGTCAATTTGCAAGCCCTTTTCCAAGTAAACCTATGTTTGATTTAATTTTCGCCATTTCAAGGAGATAGATGAGGCTTTGAGCAAAGGGTTATTGGATGTATCTTCTCGTTTACGGATATCTGACAGATGCCACTTGGTATTTGACATCCATCAAGAGATCGACCGCATGGAGGTAATAGGATAATGTCTCATTAACACTTTTTGTAGGAGGAATTAAGGGGTGAGAATTCTCTCGGCACTACTAAAAAAGGTATTGGTCCGACGTATTCTTCAAAAGTAACTCGCAATGGTCTGCGTGTATGTGATCTAATGGGAGACTGGGTGCAGTTCACAGCAAAATACAAAGAACTCGTAAAATATGTTAAAAGAAGATATCCAAAGCTTGAGATTAGCGTTGAAGAATCATTGGAGGTTGGTACATATTTAAAATCCCTACTTCTATAATCTGATAATAACGTGTTCAATTATTCGAGTGACTATCACTTCAAGCACAGTACTTCATTGGGAAAATTTCGTTAAATTCGATTGGCCTTTTCATTGATTTGCATTGAAAATCCTCATGAATGTGAAATGTTCTGAAGCAGTTCTAAAGGTGTGAGCGATTAACACTAGCCGGCCATATCATGGAATAATATTTCTCCTTGCCGGACATAAACGTGAGACTGGATTAGCTGTAGCGACCTTGTAGATTTAAGAGCATATTCATCAAGTCCAAAGGGACAGTTTGTAAAAGCCTGTCATGTGCCTTTTTGCTAGTGGTTTCTTTGTGTCGGGTCTGAACTAATCAAACTTTACTAGCGTCTCTGGAAGTCTGTAGGGCAAAGCAAAGTATATTATTTTAGGAATCGGTCTTTTCTAACCTTTTCATTGCAGGAAGACTGCATCACTAGAGATCATTTTTATGTTTTTGAAAAACCACACCACAGTTGACCAGTACCCCATCCTCAGACCTTAAAGGTGCTGCTTTTGACCTTATCGTTGTCGAACATGCCTTTCGAAACGATAGGACCCCAAGGAATTGTTATAACTTGTGACTGAGTGGATGCCTTGTTAGCGTATGAACGTGATAAGACCGCAGCGAATTATCGATTGGAACAGTGACACACGAAAACCGTACGAGCAGTCTAGAGTACGTATCGGTCCTGCTTCTGCCTAGCCCAACCAGTTAAGTCCAGAACAGCCTCTGCGGTATGTATCATTATATTTCAAACATACTGGGTTTATATACCAATGAAACTGATCACATCGTACCATAAAGTAACGTGTACAAGATTTAGCCAAATGTGGTTGTGAATAGGGGGAACAGTAATTAGTAGACTGGGTGTAATTCATTAATGGTAAATCTTCCAGTAATAGTTTATGGGTCAAAATAAAGCCTATAATCAGAGGGACTCAAATATGATTAGTTTAGTTACTTAACAATTATACAATAGGAAATATACATATATTTGGGGTCTCCTAGTCAGAAGCCAATCACTTTCTCAGTATTCTTTATGGCAGTCACGTCTACTGTCTTTGCTGATTCTAAGCAACTGCCTATTGTTACCCATCACCATTGTCCTTCCCTTTCATTCACCACCACTCATTGGTCAAGACCGTTGTGTCGATCTCTTAGTCAACATCCAAAATGGTTTTGTTCATTATCAGTTTTGGAGCCCTCAACAAATTTTAAATCATTACTAATTCACTGGAAACTAATTTCGTTTTAGTTCACCGACAGGTGTAACTGGTGTTTTTCAGCCAACTGGGTATTATCAACGGCTTTTAATAGTAAAAACATTCGTGTTTCCTTAAGCTCCTAGATAGTGGGTCCGTGAAGAAGTTGATAGTCAGGTTTTCTCGTAATTTTTTGACCTCTATACTGGCCAACTAAACATGTGTTCATCTAAAACCATAGCCATATTTCGAACGTACGTCATAGAATAAGCATCAGTTTTCTATCGGCTCGCTCCGAAAATGACTGATGAGGTTTGCCTATTTGTTTATATTATTTAGCCTGTAATATCCGTCTCTATGCTCATAATTGGTACTTGCTGAAAGTAAGCTATTATCAGAGTTTAGTTACAGCAGACTCCAACCATTATTTATCAACATGAAAAGCCATGACCAAATATATTTGTAGATGTCTTATACTACTCACTTGCCGTTTAAAATCATGCTCTACAATTGCTGCATCTAAAGACCTAGTTTATGAAGGGGTTTAGAATGTTATCAGCGGAAATTTTTGATTTGACCCGACTCGCAGATAGTCATTTCACATGGAGATACAATCTACAATCTTTTCAGAATTTTACAGAGCCATTCAAACAAATAACGTACAGTCTGCTATCAATTAAAATTCAGTACGTAGTTGTATGTTTATTTTAAAAATAAATGCTGTGCATACAACAGAGATGATTAAAAACCATTACGATTAATTAAGCTTGTTGTACGAGAAATAGGAGCAACACTATCGTTGAATACCTTTTATTTATTTATTTATTTGTTTATTTAAACACATAAATATTGGTACAATGAAGCACCAGATACATATGCGCCTCACAAATCTCATTCGATTTGTGTGAGGGCTGTGATACTTCCCAGGTGCCCAGACTGAAGCAGGTGGTCTTCTTAGGGGGACACACCCGGAGCCTTTGACCGAAAGATCTGATCCACAAGGCAGTGGAGCATCGTGAGGAGATGCAGTCCCATGGTAGCCGTTGACCAATGACAGGTTCGTCCGCCATTCGTTCCATCAGGATACTGGAGCCCATGTGCACCACTGGTTTGGAATCAGGGTTTTCCAACTCCCCTAGGTAGACCCTCCATGTCCACCAACCCGGTTAAAGTGCCGGACATTCGCTTTTCGTCCTCTCACTTTCGTAAACAACACCCCCGCCACGAGAAGGCAGTGAGTAGGACTTCCCTGGCAGATGCTATATATTCGCTGGCCATATGAGAGTATTTCGAGAGGGAGAGCAGACTCTCCCCACTGTCGGCCGTACCAGGGCATTTGGGGGCTCGTTGAATACCTCGTACCACTTGATAGCTTTTCTTCTAACCGAAGGGTGAGAACGAATTGGTTTTATTAAGCACTGATATCAGACAGGTTATTCGGTAATAATCCGTTAATATTTGTCTTTAGAAATCCGTAAGAAACAGATTAGAAGTTGGAAAACCAATAAGGAACTGTTTAAATTATTGACTTCACGATTTCAGTACTAAAGGCTTAAGTAATGTAATTATATATCTATATATCTATATAGTTATTATTATTATTTATTTATTTATTTTAGCAACTGAGAACTTACCGACAGAAGTTGTCGGGGATGGTGTGTGATTCGGTCATACTAATTAATAAGCTTGTGGAAAATAAGCAGGCAAATATTTTGGTAGAGGGTGCCCAATCCTGCATGCTGGACATTGATTTCGGGACATATCCTCATGTCACTTCTTCGAATTGCAGTGTCGGGGGTGTATGTACTGGCCTTGGGCTTTCTCCTTCTCGTGTTGGTCGTGTATATGGTGTTATCAAAGGTAAAATTGCTTGCTTTTCTCTTTCTTTTCAAATCATATTTCATGTATTTCATTGCAATCGTTTTTTCGCCATGTCTTCTATTTGACAGCAACCTGTGACTTCCATAAACAAATACTCTTGGAGCCTTCTGAATGCAAGATAACTCTGTAATACTGCCCACACCTTGTGTAAAGAGCTTTGTTTCTACTATAGACTAGTCCTTAACAAGGTGTTTGTCTGTATGCAAATGTAGCTCGATAGTGTAACCATTTTAATGAGATCAGACCACAACCTCTAACTGGCATCTACGGTCGGATATTGAATCTGCTGGTTAACAAATATTGTATTTAACTGAGACGTTTTAATGTAAGAAGATAAGTCAGCTGATACGACTACTTTCACTGAAGTCACTTTGAACTCTTGTGTTCAAGATTACTTACTGGAGATAATGTAGGAATCCAAAAGCTGTTAAAAACTGTACCCTGATGATTACTAAACTCTGCTTCTTCAAAAGAGCACATACATCATTGTGGCGTCTAAAAATGGAGAGTTTTACGTTTTGAAAATGGCATATCCAATTTCCTTTTGTGAGAGCGTTTCGAGAGAGAGAGCGGACTCTACTCCAGCTGTACCAGGGCTTTTGGGGGCTGTCTATACTGCTTCAATGTCCGGTGGGTTCCGTGGGGTTTTTCTACCTAAGAGTTCTTCAAGTTGTCCTACCTACCGGTTCCTCTGTTCTTGAATCTCAGTAATCGGCTAGCTTTTTAGTTGTATCTTGTAGTTGCTCATATTTCCTTCTCTTGTAGCTTTTCCTCTTTCATTGTTAAGCGTTCCATGTATTTCTACTTGTCGGCATTAATGCTCCTCTTCATTCTCTTGTTTGCTTCTGTGTATTCAGTCTGTATCCTGGCTTTCTCTGCTCTTGTTCGACTGTTGTTAACTGTGGTCTTTTTTCTCTTCGTTTGTTGAATCTTGGTCAGGATTTCTGTAGGGATCAGTTTTTAGTGATGATGCTCGTTGAGGCCCAGCACATCCTAACAAGTTGAAGCTAGTGCTTGTTTGATCCCTTTTCATTTGTTCTCCATAGTAGTTTCCTTTTGTTTGAGTAGGTCTTATAAGGCTTGGAATTTGTCGTTGAGAGCTATCTTGAGTTCGTTGAGTTTGTCAGTATCTCGAAACAAGTAAGTCAGTCAGCTACAACGTAGGACCAGGCACATATATGCATCGGTCCAAGTTACCGCACCTCATTAGCACAACAAAACGAACACCAAATTCATACTAGTTACTTCAAAGGCAGTAATATATAAAAGAAAGGTTGTGTATAAGGATATAATACAGATAGGAAGAATTAGCTTGTAGAAATAAAGGTGTAAAGTAACCTTAATCTCACGGTTTAAGGACAGATAAATAGTGTATACACCGACGACACTGTGATCGATTCTAAGCCATGTCACCCACAGTCTCTAACCATCGGTTACGATAGTCGCATGGACCCCAACCAAGTAGTCTGCATCTACCAATATGGCTCAGACTAGAAGTTAGTGACTTTATGGACTGATGTCACGTTTTGGTTTAGCCACCCCTAAAATTCTTTCAACCATCGCCAATACTAGTCAGCACAGCGCGTCGTGGTAATCAGTGCATACGTAACATGTGGCCCAACCATCTCAGTCGATGAAGATTCATGATCTCATCAACTGATTTACCATCATTCCCTAATACCCTGTGTCTAACCTCACTATTGCCCCCAAATACCCTGGTACGGCCGACAGTGGGGAGAGTCTGCTCTCCCTCTCGAAATACTCTCATATGGCCAGCGAATATATAGCATCTGCCAGGGAAGTCCTACTCACTGCCTTCTCGTGGCGGGGGTGTTGTTTGCGAAAGTGAGAGGACGAAAAGCGAATGTCCGGCACTTTAACCGGGTTGGTGGACATGGAGGGTCTACCTAGGGGAGTTGGAAAACCCTGATTCCAAACCAGTGGTGCACATGGGCTCCAGTATCCTGATGGAACGAATGGCGGACGAACCTGTCATTGGTCAACGGCTACCATGGGACTGCATCTCCTCACGATGCTCCACTGCCTTGTGGATCAGATCTTTCGGTCAAAGGCTCCGGGTGTGTCCCCCTAAGAAGACCACCTGCTTCAGTCTGGGCACCTGGGAAGTATCACAGCCCTCACACAAATCGAATGAGATTTGTGAGGCGCATATGTATCTGGTGCTTCATTGTACCAATATTTATGTGTTTAAATAAATAAATAAATAAATAAATAAATAAAACCTCACTATAACTTACTCGGTGATCCCAGCAGATACAAGCAATATTTCTAAGGCATCTGTGGTCAAATACTAGTAACTTGCGAGTATTTTCTACTCTTAATGGCCATATTTCACAGCTGTAGAGTAGAACAGAACGAACTGCCGCTCATTAGACTCGTCCTTTAATTGAAAGACGGATATGTGACGCAAGTTGGCAAAAGCCAAACAAGCTTTTTGGATCCGTGCAGAGTTTTCATCAGTGACCAACGCATTAGTGGTGATCGCGTTTGACTACTTCACTCCCTATCCCTAGTTCAGGTGTTGACGCCGGCCAGTCCTGGAGTAAAAATTTACATTCTGGCATTGTTGCTCAGTCCTACCAAAAGACTGCTTTTTATCAATGCCTTCATCAAACAGGACTATATCATCTGCGTAATCTAAGTCGATAAGTGGATCTCCTGGTGTAGTGAAGAAAAAGACGATGTATTCAGGCAGAACATTACAGAATATCTCAGTAAAATATGAGAACCATATAGTAAATAGTTAATTTGCAAACTCAATCAATTGTCTCAATCTTGACCGTTCCTTCTGCAAATATCAGTCCGTCGTCTCTGATTATTATTTTGTATGCATTTTCATACCAATTCCGTCCCGTTCCCGTTCTCTCCTTATCCATCTTCTACTGAAGTACATTCAATGCTCGACCATCGTTATATACTACTTATGTGGATATAAGTAGCCCACACCACACTGGTAGGAGATCAATGTCCGGAAATTAAGTCGATGAGAGCGTTATTTCCAGCAATAGGTCTATAATAAAGTTAAACAAAAATGGGGATAGTGAACAGCCTTGTCGGACACAACTTGAGGTTGTAAAATCAGATGACAGTTCGCCATAAGCTCTCACTCGACTGGTAGTGTTCGATTAAAGAGCCTTCACAAGGTTTATGTACTTCTGAGGAACACCTTTCAATGACAGATACCGCCATAGAGCCTCTCGGTCCTCAGAGTCAAATGCTGCTTTTGAGTCAAGAAAAACTATCATTGTCTGACGCTAATAAGCATGCCTGTGTTCTAAAACCCGACTAATAGTGAATATGTGGTCGGTGCAGCCACGATCAGGTCTTAAGCCAGCCTGATGTTTTCGTGTTTGCAGTTCACGAATATTTGTTAGGCGTCCGATAATTATTGAGGCTAGTATTTTAGATACTATGTTAGTCAGACTAATCCCTCTATGATTATCACAGGATAATTTTGGCCCCTTCCTATATATTGGGACAATAAGTGATTATGACCAGTCAGATGGGATTACGTTCAACTCCCAGATTTTAGCTAAAATATTAATCAACCTCATCGCTAAAACTGGACCGCCATATTTAAAGACCTCTGGAGCCAATCGATATTGACCAGCTGCTCTTCCTCGTTTCAGATTACCTATAGCCTTTTGAACTTCAAGTAGGGTCGGGGGGCCTACTTCAATGTTCCATTCAGGTTTTCTAGGAATAGTGGGTAGTTGTGCAGTAGCTGAAGGTCAGCTAAACTGCTCCTTAAAGTGTTCCGCCCATCGTTCTAAACGTTTGGGTTGAGAGCAGATAAGGGTTCCGCCTTTTTCCGAGATCGTCTCACTTACACTTGACTTCTTAATTCCGGTTTCTTTTATTAGTCTGAATAGTTGCCTGGTGTTGCCTACAGCCGCTGCCTTTTCCATCTCTTTTGCTTTCGTTGCTCACCACTGCTCACGATCGTTCCTTAGACTTTTAGTTAACCTAGATCTGATTTGTTTTCGTTCTTCACTTCGAAGGAAAACTGTATTGAGTCGTTGTAATGTTGTTTCTCCAGTTGTCCATTGCTTCTTTAGTTTCAGTATTATCTTGGCAACCACTAGATAGTGATCTGAAGCTATCCCTGTAGTGTGATCCAGTGAGATATATGTAGCTCCGCGTTCGCGTTTGTGGGGGAAGATAGTGGCACTTTGGCTTTCACCATGAGGCGTCATAATTCTTCTAAATGAAGGTCTTTCAACTTAAACAGTTTAAACTGCTTTTTTCGATTAGCGTTTTTTAGCAAGACTGTTTTCCACGGGATGGGGTTGCTGACCCCATGCCCACTCCACACCTTTACCTAGGCTTGGGACCGAAAGTAACCCTAGAAGGGATACAGGCGGGTTTTTCAGGTCCATAGCATATATTAAAAGACTGAGAATGTAAAGTATTTATATTTTATGTATTGGAGTTATTCTTAACTGTTTTGTTTGTTTATATCCAAGACTTATCACTTTTATGAACTCAGTGTTTATTCTTTTCATTACTTTATCAGCTTATACAACACGTGTAGGCTCTGGTCCTTTTCCTTCTGAGTTATTAGATGGGATCGGTGAGTTCATTCAAAAGAAAGGGTGTGAATGGGGTGTAACCACTAAACGTAAGCGACGGATCGGTTGGTTAGATACAGTGGTTATACGATATGCACATATTATCAATGACTTTAACGCCCTGGCTTTGACGAAGATTGACGTGTTGGATGACCTGGAAGAGGTAGTTAACTTTACATTAGTTAATTCTGATTGTCGTTATTTAATTGTTTTTTCATGCAGTACCAAATGCTAGTACAATTGAGAATCAAAAATGCGCCACATAAGTAAGGAAATGATTTTCCAAAGAAATAGATGTAAGGGCGGTATAAAAGCAAAACCATAGTGAAGAAATAAAAAAGAGGTGAACAAGAGTAGTATATATAGTTCAGTTAGCCATACAACTAAGATTTTTTTTCAGTTAAAGCAGTTCCTTTCATTTTTAACGAGGAATGTTAAAAAAACTACAGATAATGCCTCAGTCCACTGAGTTGTACCAGCTCTAGAGACTCAACCAGAGATTATCGATTTACGGACAGACGCTAGTCTTATATCGCTTTATCATACCGCAAAACTCTGTTGCAAAGTGATCACTTATCCGCTTTTTCTACCCTGATCCAACTTCGATAGTTGATGCACAATATGCAGGTTGCTGGGATGATATTCGTGATACGTACCCAAAACAATAAAGCCAGTTCTTTAAGATGCTGGCACAAATTGAATTTAAATCACTACACCTGAACACACGTGATGCAGAACCTCTGGATTACTAACGTGGTGTTGTCACTGTATGTCGACAGTCCTTCCGCGACAACGGTGATCAAACATGGAGAGTCGTCTAACATCCTCAACGTGGAGAGGCCGGGTTTCACAAGCATAGATCAAGGCTAGTCTCACCGACGTGTTGTCGATCAGACATTTGACGGCCAGACCAACATAACGAAGACTCCAAAGATGGCCCAGATTGGCGTAAGCTGCTCTATCTTTCACTATACGTGGGTCGATCTCATCACTCATGTCATTACCAGCACTTACTTAGCTGCCTAGATGTGCGAACTTCCCGACTACTTCTATCTGCTCACTACTCAGAGTGAGTACAGGTTCAGAGTCTTGCCAGTCTTGTAAAAGTACTTTGCATTTGGAAGGTCCAAAGCACATTCCATACCTATGGGCACTAAATGCCAACTTTTTAAGTGCGGATTGCATGGCTTGGGTATCATCGCACAGTAAGACAATATTATCCTCATACTCAAGGTTGAGAAGTCTTTCTCCAGGCAACAGATTCACTGCACCACTACCTACATCCATCAGAGCTGTTTCCAGGAGAATACGGTAACATAATGCCATCCTAAATAAACTTATTTTCAAATGGAAATTACCTATGGTGTTCCAAAAATTTATTCGGATTCTACTACCCATACTTATGTCACCATTAAAGTTAACATTGTCACAAGCCTTAACTTCTTTAAATCAGTCAAACTAATTTATACAACAGAATTGTAAAGAAAATTATCCACGTCAAGACTAGTAAATTCTTCAAGTTTCGAACTATTTTCTTACCAGCTCCAAGTTAAGCTGATAATCAGCACTTTTCATTCGAATAAAAAGTAGCTCCAAAGAAAAGTTGGAAGATTCCCAGGAATTATGTCAGCTTTTAAGGAATTCATCAATCCTTTTGATAAAATGATATCAAATCTCAGCTTTTCAGTTGTTGGTATATGATCATTTTTTATACCTAGTTATGTACCAGAGTAAAACTTCAATAAGTATTAGATGGTTGGGGGTAGTCGACAGAAAGCCACGAACCTAGGTTTTGTACTAGTTGACACATGTCAACAAAGCGTACGCGGAACAGATGAGCTTTGTGGGATTCAAACCTGCATCACCCATCTTCACAATTTAAGACGTTACTGCTAAGTTATTAGGGCTTCAACTAGCTTCCTTTGTTATGATGATATCTTTTTGTTTGTGTAATAATCAAACTGAAAAATCATTCTGATTTTTATAATTTATGTTGATACATGTGTGAATCTACGTTTGGATAACAAATGCATAAAAAAATGAATAGAAGAACGTTTGTGAACGAAACGCGCTTGAAAATGTAATGTTACTTTTTTCATACATCTGGAAAATGTCTTAAAAAAGGAAATTTATTTTATTCTATAAATCTCGTATGATTTTTAAATTATCTCGTAGACAGTTTGCTTAACTCTTTTTCATTTATAATTCATATTAAAGGTGAAAATAGCTAAAGCGTACATTGATCCAGAAACTGGACGTGAACTTGACAGCTTTCCATCTGACTCTTCTGTCCTTAATCGTGTAGTTGTTGTTTATGAAACTCTTCCTGGATGGAAAACGTCTACTCATGGTTGTCGCGTTTATGAGGAACTACCAACTGCTGCCAAAGTTTTTGTAGAAACAGTTGAGAAGTTGCTTAATATACCTATACGTTGGATTGGAACAGGCGCTTCTCGGGACTCCATTATAATTAGATCTGTTTAATACCAGAATTTTAAAACTGTAAAATAGTTAACTTTCGTAGATTCAACTTCATTAAATAAATTAGGCCTAGAATCTTTATGTGTCCCCATTTCTATAACATAAACCCACTTTTTCCATAAAGATGATCTTACTTTTGTCTGTTATACTTGACTGTATTACATTCACCACGTCAACCTAGTTTGATCACGTTGTCTGATCTAATTTTAATTTTCAGATTTCCTTTATCATAAAGATTATTATCGTTTATTTAATTATCCTCTAAATTTTTGATACTTCCCAGTTTTTTTAAATTTTGTTTTGATTTGTGAAATCTCATTGTGGCTCTAAAAGTATTCCTTTGAGATTGTTATTAGATGCAATAATTAATGTTTAATTAGTTAAATTAATGACTTTTTTGTTGGGGCTGTAAATTGTCGCTCCATGTAATTGAATTCTAACTGTTTTAAATAATCAGATGCTGTTCTACTTACAGTAGTTTGAGAAACTATGTAATGTTCGTAACCTCATAATGTACGTGTAACTCATTTTCCAACATGTTAGACTTGATAATATTTGGTTTGCTCATAATGTATGTTGGTTAGTTTTACCACTAGTTTTGTTCCAACATTACGTATCTGTTGGAGGTTACCACAAAATTTTAAGAATGTTTAATTATGGCAGTAGCTGATTTGTGACTGTTGTTTAGACTTCATAATAATTAGTTTTAAGATCATACAGGCCTCCTTTTAGGAACAAGCACGCTCCCGCATGACCATCGAATACAATTAGTTAGGATTTTGTATTCATGTGCTCATCATAGTAACATTTTCTAACTTACTTCTACCTTGTATATTATTGTTTCTCATTAGTTCTACTTGCACAACAAATTCAATTAACTTAGTTGGTTGACATCCTTTAAGTTGCCCACTCTGCGTTGGATTCTTCATTTGAACTCAGAGTTCAGTCATTACTGCACATGTGATGAGTCCTTCATAGTAATCTTTGATGGAATACTTTTAGTCTCAAGTCGTTTAGGTTTAGTAAATATGTCGCAGCTGCAATGTGGCCATAAGAAAATCGCAAGTCATCTTGACTTTTGGTCGCTAATATTTGCCACAGTTTCCCGAGCTGATTTGAAATTAAGACATGAAACATTCGACATCGTCTCGAGAATTCATAACTATATTTTAGATGTTAAATATTGTCAGGCGAAAGTATACAAAATCAAATATTCTCATTTGTCGTCTGTAAGATAGTGTTTTAGAATTATTTTGTTCCGAAACAAATCAATTGGTTTTTGCTCTAGTTTGTACTTGTTGCAACAATTCACTACTAATATTTGAACGAAGAATATTCTTTTCGATAAATTCTCTTCAGGTTCTACAATTATATATCCAAATTAATAATCCGAAAAATTGGCCAGGTTAAAGGCAAAGTACATCGTTTAATGCATGCAAATTTAGGAATGTCAAATCAAATAGAATAAAATTGTTAATGTTGATATGACTCATATAGAATGCTAACTTGAATCTGTATATATGGTAAGTGAAAATTTAAGATCTGTGATCAGAATATAAATATGGGTCAGATAGAGTGAGAGAGATATGACAAGAAATATCAGTCTATAATTTAATGAGTAAGGAAAGACAATTTCAGAATAAAATGGAAACAACAGCATGATGTTAAAGTCAACATGAAATAGTCACTTTTTGGATTTAGTTTCTACGTATAGCAAATGACATTTTGGTGTTATTGGTCACCAGTTATTGAAGTACACAGGCGGTGCTAAAATTGCCTTGGTGAGTGAATTTTACTCAGGGGTTTCTCTAAACCTTGGACCCAAGTTACTGCTCACGCGTTCTGAAGAATCGAGTGTTTCATGTACTTAGTTTGTTCATCGACTAGCGTGTGATTTAACATGGCGTTATTCCACTGCCATTTGGATTATACCTTTGGTTCTGCTGGGATTAGTCTACTACGTAGACCATCCACGATTCGGGGAGTATAACTACCGTCACACAATTGATGGTAACCACTAATAATTTGCCCATTCATAAAAATAGTCATTCCGTAGCATGAACTAACTAAATAGTATTGCTTTCGCCCTCATCTGTTATTTTGACTGTTGGATTCACTGGATGTGATCCTGTATAACTAGTTTTGGTAACATATCGTTCCAGTGAATAATCAGGGACAAGAGTCGTTTTATTATGATCATACCCGACCGTAGCTGCTACCTTGACGTGGTGGTCGGGCTTGTCTATCGTGATGATTCAACCGAGCTGTATTGGCTGGAACATATGTTCCTGTAGGTTCTACTATGTCAGGCAGGTCTATTTGAGAACGGTAAGACTAAAAGCAGCAACTCAAGTCGTACTGCTGACTATAGAGGGGTATGATAGCAGTAAGGTGTTTCCCTCGGACAACCAGCAACTGCAACGATCCTACCTTCTCACAAGGAGGGGTGGGGTTGGAAAAGGTCGACTCTAAAAATGCACACCTCGCCTTATCCTACGGATTTCCGGCGATAAGGCCGTTTGAAGAACAGAGCTAAAAAGTCGAAAATCTCCAACAAAAAGGCTGTACGTAACCGGCTTCAAGCAGTTGTCCCTTGAGTTCTGCAGTCACACTCCAAGATTGTTATGATCAACATGAATCCGACTTCCTTTTCTGGTCTCAAGAAATACCCTTCCATGGTGTGGGCAGCCGGAAAATGATATCTGCCCTCATAGCCGTAACATCACACGAGACCAAGTTGGTCACATTCAAATCCTTCCTACACCTGCTAATAACTCTCTTATCTCCACGCCTAATCCTTATCACGTCCCGTTATCACCTCGCACCGCTAGGGCAAACGATTCGAGTACACGGAGCGTTATTCCTGGTCTCCTGAAACCATGCTCTAAACTACATGTAGGAGCTTTCAACGTCCGATCACTCGGCCAAACAGGCTTCCTTAACTAGGACTTTAGAATCTCGCACAATCGATGCGTTCTGTGTTTCCGAAACGCGCATACAGGATCCGAGTAGCGTCATTCATTTGACCTCACCATGTCATCCAACTCGATTCACGCTTCGTGTATCTGGAAGCCCTGATGCTGCTTCCCATGGCCTTGCTAGCGTAGGTATAGCATTGAGTCCTAGGGCAGAACTAGCTCTTTTAGACTGGATCCCAGTAGACAGTCGTCTGTGCGCTGTCCGGCTAAGCGGATCAGTAGGGATTCGGAAAGATAGGGACACTCGTCGTAGTCTCTGCCTACTCTCCCACTGACTGTAGCTCAGATGATATAAAAGATGAGTTTTACAGAAAACGTTCTGACCTTCTACGAAAAGCTAGGCGTTCTTAGTAATAGTGGCTGGTGACTTGGGTAAACTAAGGGAAAGACACCTGGGTGGATCTTATGGTGTGATGGCTCAAAGAACAGATAATGACAACCGTCTGTTGCAGCTACACTCAGATAACCACCTGTATCTTGCAAATACTAACTTTAAGCACAAGGAAAAACAATTTTTGACAGGGTTACGATTTGGTCAGTACATGATCAATCCTTACGGAATTCAGCCTGTTGATCTCGAAGTTGGGCGTCTACGGAGTCCTTCATTCCGTTTAACAATATCCTATTGAAGACTTTTCCTGGTATTGAGAGAAGAGTGATGCCCCGGTAGTTATCGCACTTTCTGCGATCACCTTCCTTTGGTATCTTAGTCAGAAGTCCTTTCCAGTCTGTTGGTACTTGTTCTTCATCCCAATGTTGATGTCGGTTGTGATGATTCAAATCGGGAGACATTTGTGCTAGTTCTAACGTAATTTGTGTATGTTGTGTACACATACCATTTAATATCGTAAACTTTTTTAGTGAAGGGGATAACATATTATCAATTGAGGAATTTAGCTAAACAATTTTATTCTCTCCAAACTACGTGTAAAAATCTATTAGATATGAAATCTCTTCTCTCTCAGAGTAGTATTTTCCTGTTGTAATTCTATATAGATTCTCTACTCACTTTTTGGGATATATCGTTAGCTTTTTATTATTCACTAAATTTAATACGCCTAGATTCAGTGCAGTGGATTGATTATTACGTATTAACTGATAGCAGCAATACTTTCAAATTGTATTATTTATTTATTGATGCTATTTTTAAAAATAGATTCTAATAAACTGATTGACAGAAATATATGACCTCACATCAATCTGGAGTAACTACGTTACACAATATAGACTTGATATTATTTTTGATTTTACGCAGATTAAAAAGGCTTAGTTATTTTTGCAAATAAGTTAAACGGTTATAAACAATGTAACACGTAACATATATATATATATATATATATATATATATATATAGAGAGAGAGAGAGAGAGAGAGAGAGAGAGAGAGAGCATAAGTCTCCGCATCAGTAGGTCTCAAAATACACAAAAGAATAAGCGAGATCCTCAAATACCACACGAAGAACACCAACCAACCCAGTCACACTTGATGGAGGAACCCTGAAAGAGATAGAAGCTTTCACGTAATTGACTGGACAGCATTATAGGTGAACAAGAAGGATGTGATGCAAATATAAAGGAAAGGATTAGCAAAACAAGGACAACATTTCTACAATTGAAAAACATATGGTACTTGTTATATCCCCTGTTATAACAGTGCTCAAAACGACTGTCAATTAACATCAAAGTGAGAATCTTCAATACGAACGTCAAGACAGTCAGTTCTACTGTACGGAGCTGAAATGTGGAGAACGACTAGATCCATCGTGAAGAATGTACAAGTATTTATAAACAGTTGTCTATGCGAAATACTCAACATTCACTGTCCGGATACTATCAGCAACAGCGTTGTATGGGAGAGGACAAACCAGCTTCCATCTGAAGAGGAAATGAGGAAAGGACGATGGAGGTGTATAGGACATATATCGGGGAAATCACCAAAGTACATCACGAGGCAAGCGTTAACTTGGAATCGTGAAGGGGAACAGAAAAGAGGAAGACCAAGGAACACATTGGGTCGGGAATTGGAAGTAGACATGAAAATGATTAATAGCAACTGAGAACGAGTTGAAAGGATTGTGCAGGACAGAGTTTGATGGAGAATGCTGGTGAGCGGCTTACGCTCCTCCACGAGGGGTGACAGGCGTAATATATATATATATATATATATATAATTACAAAATCGTAGGTCAGTTGAAGTTAGACATTAACACCGTTGGATGCCGGCTCAGTGGTCTGTCGGTTAAGGGCTCTGGCTCGAGACTGGTGAGTCCTAGGTTCGATTCTCGCGAGTGCGGGATCGTGGATGTGCGACCCAGGCCAAAGCCCCTTCTAACAACCAGAGCAACACTCTTTATAGGTACATGGAAGGTCCAAACAATGTGGAAGACAGGAAAGACCAGCCAAATAGCAATGGAAATGAGGAGATACAACTTGGCAGTACTCGGAATCAGCGAAACCCATTGGACACAAACTGGACAACAAAGGCTAGGTACAGGAGAGATGCTTCTGTACTCCGGTCATGAACGGGAAAATGCTCCACACACTCAGGGAGTTGCTCTAATGCTGTCCAAAGAAGCATGAAATGCACTTGCAGGATGGGAATCTCATGGATCCAGGATAATCAAAGCATCATTCAGAACAAAAAAGCAAGGGATCACAATGAACGTTATTCAATGTCATGCACCCACCAATGATAGAAACGACGATGATAAAGATCAGTTCTATGAAAGGCTGCAATCAATTATAGCAAAGTGCTCACGAAAGGACCTCACCATCCTGATGGGAGATCTAAATGCTAAAGTTGGAGTGGACAACACAGGATATGACGATATAATT